CATGGATGGAACTAGAGCATGTTATGCTAAGTGAAATTAGAGAGATACACATATCATATGACCTTACTCCTGTGGAATTTAAGATATAAAACAGATGAACAGAAAGGAAGGGAGGCAAAAATAATATAAAAACACTTGTTGGGATGAACACTGGATGTTGTACATAGGATATGAATGACTGGATTCTACCCCTGAAATCATTATTGCACGATATGCTAACCTGGATGTAAATTTTAAAAAACAATAAATGTGTATTTAAAAAAAGCCCTCTTGAAGGTTGCCTTTAAGATGAAGAATGAAAACTGAGTTGGACTTAGTCATGAGAACAGGGTGGAAGAGTGCTCCAGGGAAAGGAGGGAAGGCATGTGAAGGCCACAGGGTAGGGAGGGTCGGAGAGGTAGCTGCCATGGTGGGTGTGTAGTGGGCGAGGAGGGAAATGTGCAAGGTGAGGTGAGGCAGGTCAGGGCTAGATCTTCTAGAGCTTTGTAGACCATGAGAAAGAGTTTGGATTTTATTCCAGCCATTTTCTGGCTGGTGCTGAGTGGGCAGAGCATTTAACCTGAGAGGGTTGTAGATTTGGTTATGAATGGGGAAGTTGCCTTTCTGTTTAGTATATCTTGGAAATGTTGGATGAGTAAAATGAGGTAAGATAAGTAAATGTGTCTTCCACACCCATGCAACCCTCCGTGTTTGTCCTTGCTTCTCACTGTGTATATTATCATTTTGAACTTTGGTTATCACCTTTTGTTATGCTGTGCCGTGGTTATGTATCATTTAGATGGTTTCTTCCAACTAGATCATTAGCTCTTTGAGAACTGAAACTTTGGTGTGCTCAGGGCCAGCACACAAAGCCCTACACAGAGTAAGCACATAGGGGGTTTTTTGTTGTTGTTTAAGGATTTGACATTTATTTAAAAAATTGTCTACTGGTTTTTTAAAAACTATTACATGTAATATGTTTCCCCTGCTTTTGTATATGTTGGAAATTTTCTTTTGTAACAAACGGAAAACAACGTAGAGTGTTAAAAAAGCAGTGTGGCTTAAAGTATAAAGTAAAATCCTTTTCATAGGGATTGCATAGTCTTTGTTTTAGTATTGTTAAAATTGCCTATCCAAGTGGCTCTGCAGATTTCACGGTGGCATTATCTGTTTCCTAAATCCTCACCAGTGTTTGATTGTTGGATTCTGCTAGATTTTGATTTCTGTAAACCTGATTATTGAGAAATTGTGCCTAGATTGACATTTCCCTCATTACAGGTAAAGTTGAATATTACTTTCTATGTTTAGTTAGCTATTTGTGTTTCTTTTTAAAAAATTATTGTTAACATTTATTTTTTTAATTTTTATTTTTTTTAATGTTTTCTTTATTTCTAGGAGAGAGAGAGAGACAGCGTGAGCAGGGGAGGGTCAGAGAGAGAGGGAGTCACAGACTGAAACAGGCTACAGGCTCTGAGCTGGCAGTCAGCACAGAGCCCGACGCGGGGCTCGAGCCCACGAACCGCGAGATCATGACCTAAGCGAAAGTCGGACGCTTAACCGACTAAGCCACCCAGGCGCCCCTGTTAACATTTATTTTTGAGAGACAGAGTGCAAGTGGGGGAGGGGCAGAGAGAGAGAGAGACACAGAATCTGAAGCAGGTTCCAGGCTCTGAGCTGTCAGCACAGAGCCTGATGCGGGGCTCAAACCCACAAATGATGAGATCTTGACCTTAGGTGAAGTCAGATGCTCAGCTGACTGAGCCACCCCTAGCCATTTACATTTCTTTTCTCTGTTCATATTCTTTGTCATTTTTCCTTACTGAGTCATTTGTCCTTGACTGCAGGAGTGCTTCATATACTCTAGCTACTAATCCTCTCTGATGTCTTACAAATATTTTGTCCCAATCTCCTTTATCTTTATACCTTTCTTCAGTGCCTTTTGTATTCAACAGTAATATATAGTGGCCCTTCTTCCATTTCAGGGCAGTCAGTGTTTTTGGTGATGTCCCACATATGTCCCAAGATCTCTTTTAGAATTTCTGGGCATGATTTATCAGCATACCAAGAAAAATACTCCCATCACCATGGACTGTCTTGACCCAGTAGACACTTAATTTTTTACATTCTTTAGCTTATTTTTTAAATAACATAAGAATAAAAGGATAGGTGAACAACCTCTTCATTTAAAATCTTAATTTAAATGTAGCGACCCTGACTCTTTGTTCCAAATTCTCCTGTTTGGAATAGATGTATCTAAATATAAACATACCCAAAATGGATGTCTCTCAAAGTAGGAGCCATGCATGAACGTGGAATATATCCATCTTGAAACTACTGGTCCCAGACTTTAAATCTATCTCCAGTAGGTTCTAGCTAATTGCTCCTGGTTCTTCTCTCTCTTGCATCATCAAAATGCAATACTAGACTTTTTTTTAAACCCTTTAATGGCTCATAATTTTCTCGAAGAGATTATAGCTATTTTCTTTGCTTCGCAACTCAGACATTTTCATTTTTGGATTTATTAGACGTCAGATGATCCATTGAATTTGTATGTTTCTTTCTCATATATACCTTTTCTGTCACCTTTGTATACTAACCTGTCTTCAGCATTTGTCCATTTATGAACTGTATCAAATCAAACTTGGCCCACAGGAACAAAAGGTGAAAAAATCTGGTGATGTGCTTTTTAGCATAACAAAATGGTCTGGCAGGTTCTCGTTGGAAAATACTGAATGATGAAGTCCTTCCTGTGGAATGACTAACAACCGAATGAGAATCCCTTGTTTTCTTTTTGTTCTGAGAGATCTATTGCTTGCTCATCAGTTCTTGAGTTTGAGAAGATTCATCCTTCGATACTGTGTAGTATGTTGTCATCTGAAGACTCACCCTCAAGTTTTACTTAGGGTCAGTGTCCCTGTCCTCCATAGCGTCTCAGGTGCTGCTGTTCTTTGTCTCTTTACATCCATCTTCTGATTTGTCTAATGATTGTGACACATCTCCCTCTGTCCGTTGTCTTCTCAGTGCGCTTATGGACAGAAAAATTTTTAAATTCTGAATTCTCATCTGTGCTCAATGAAAGCTAAAAGCAGACTACCAAGATAGTGTCTCAAGTCTTAAACCTCATTGAAAGATGATGTAATAATTTGGGCAATGAGATTAGAAAATTGCAGGATGATGCAATGGTGATTATTTTTGCATCACCCTTTTTGGTGATTTTAATCATTTTCCTTTGTCTTATTAGTGTTTTTTTTAAATTATTATTTGCAAATAACCTGAGATGGAGGAGAAAAAATCCCCCACCAAAATCCTATAATATAGCTTAAATTTATAAAAGGTTGCAGTGGACCCGTATGTAATTACAAGACAGAATGAGTTTTATTCTATTTTTAAAAATAAGCATAATTTCTCTTTGTTCTTAGGAAAAATCTAAAACAAAACCATGAAATAACGGCCTTCCCATATAGTAAGGAATTGTTCAGAAAAGAGTGAAAAAGTCAAACTGGGCCCAGCAGCCCCCGTGTTCTCCTGGAGCTGCCTGAAGGACTGAGCTGGCCGGAAATACATACCTACTGTGCTCACAAAACTCTTACTGCCGAGTCCAATGGAACGGAAGTGACACCTAATTAGTCTTAGCCTGTCTTTACTACCCTCAGGCCGCAGGAGTTTGCTCTGGCTTACAGCCTTCTGTTCTGACCTCCCCTCTCTCTGTGCAGCATGGGCAGAAGGAATAAACTGGCTGCTTTCTGACGGAGCTGGGTGCGCCCCCCCTTCTCCCCCACCGTCTTTCTGTTAACCGGTCTGCTTTATCTCGGGTGTCTCTCTTCTAAGCCTCTTTTCTCTCAAAGCCCTCGAACTGTTAGCTGCTGAATGCAGCACGTCTGTGTTGAGCACCGAGCACTGCCAGCGTCCCATTCGGGACGAATCTACGAGGTGTGTATGCCAAGCACGATATCATTGTGTGCAGGCACTGCGGGAGTCTGCCAAACCCGAGGGCAGGCTGCCCGTACAAATGCCACGTTGACATGACATTTACAAGTTTAGAGTCTGGAAGAGGACTGGCAGCGGAGCACTCCTCAGCTGCCTCGTTTTGGGTGGCGGTAACCGCGCCAGCTTTGGGTTTTTAGACTCTGAAAGCATCGTCAAGAAGTAAGACTTCATATAGAATTCGAAACCGTCACTGCCATATTTTCTAGGAAGTGATGAATTTGGTCAGCCTGTTTCTGGAATGTGGATAAACCCTCGTGCAGGGTGAAAGTGCAGAACCTGGAATCAAATCTGGGTTTGAGCGAGGGTGCCGTCACTTACCGCATGATCCTGAGCAAATCCGTCTGCATGAACCTCAGCTGCCCACCTATAAAGTAGAGATACTAACACTTTGCTCATGGGGAACTAGGGTGAATTAAATATTTCCAAACGTGTAAGCACTTTTTCAGTGCTTCTCCGATTGTGAGTGCTCAGTAATGTGAGCACATTTTCACATTGTTCAGAAGCTCATGAGAAATTCAAGTTTTGAGCTGTTTCTATGTTTTAGTAACAAGCGGGTATATTCCAGCCTTCCAGGGACATGAGCCTGTGGGGACACTCTCTCTGTGACTCAGGCGTTGCCGGCACACTGCACTGGAAGCCTAGGAGGGAGTCTTCTTTCTCTAGGGAAACTTAGAGCTGGAATCAGGATCATTTGAGCATTTGGCAGAATGCAGAAACCATTTGGGTGGTAAGAATTTATTCCAGTAATAGACCTTTGACCTGGAGCTTTTCTGTGGCATAGTCTCTGCAAAGGGAAGGCCTTAGGCTATTCTGAAGGGTGTTCTGCAGCTTATTAGGGACATGGTCTTTTCGGTGTTGACAACAAAGTACTTGGTCTTGATGATGTCTCTTCATGATCTAGTAGATAAAGGACAGGGGTTTTTGTTTTGTTGTTTTTTCTACATATACAGAATACGATCCTTACCACTGTTCATCATTTCAACACTGTAAGTTCTCTCCAATGATAAAATTCTCTTTTCTTTCTCATTTTTCAGATCTTCAAAGTTGCTGCGGGCATTCTACATCCCCTTCCTGTCAGATCAGTACACAGAGTATGCAAACTACACCATCCTCAAACCCCGGAAAGCAAAGCAAATCAGGAAGAAGAGTGGAGGTTAGCAACATGCCTGTGGCCCCAAAGGACGACCATCCTGTTAACTAGCGACTTCACTGACAGGACGCCCTCCAGATCATCGTTTGTAATGTTTGTAATAAAGGCTGTCTGACACAGGAGTCTGGAATCCGGGTGCTTTGGGCTGGTCCGAGTCATTCCCATTCACGTCTTGTCCGTGTCTCTCTCCTGCATGTGAACTTTTGGCAGCTAGGCAGAGAAAGGCCCTAAAGTCTGGTAGGTTTGTTGCTCTACATCTTACTTACTTTTCCTCTGTTCGATATTTACTAGACCGCAGAAGAGCAGAGCCACCTCACAGGAAGAATTGAGAACCCCTGAATTGGATGGCTGCGTTAGGCTGTGTCTCCATACTCTGGCCTGGCGTCTGAGAACTTGCAAGCCCGTCTTGGGCCACATGGGCTTCTCCACCAAAGCTGTCTGGCAGCTGCTAGCAGACGTTATTCAAATCCTAGTGCTCAAAACGAGCACAGCCTAATTGCCAACCTACATGTCCTTTTCACCTCGTGCAGGACTCAGCTTCCCTAAAGCACTTCACAGGACGAGGACCCTGTCCTGGAGATATCTCAGGAAAACGGCAACCGTTTGAGGAACTGTGACCTAATTTCGTTATGTAGGATGCCTCTTCCTCTCAGTTTATTTCCTGTACAACAAACTGTGACTGTGTTCAGTTCTAGCATGCTGTTCCTTGATTTCAAGACTTTTCTGTATCAAAGTATCAAGAGATTAGACCATAACTGTACAGGACATATTTGGAGAAAATTAATTTGGTCACTTGGTAGGTAGGTGTGGATGATCTCACATTTTTAAGTAATGTACTTTGAGGCCATTTCTGAGGAAATTAAGAATTTTTTTTTAAACCCTAGTGGAAAAGGCCAGTGTATATTTATAGCACCTATTTTTGAGTCTATCTATTGCAAAGCACATTCTGCATGGGGGCACTTCTACTCAAATAGGCAATGATAAAGGACCTAATTAAAGTGTAGTGAGTATATACTGTTACTTTACATACAGTATTTCACAGCTGAGAAAGCACTTTCACATGATCTCATTTGGTCCTCACAGTCACAGTGTGAGGCAGACTAGACAAGTGGTTTTGTCCCCATTTTACAGATGATGAAACAGGCTTTGGGGGTGGGGCGGGGGGAAGGTCAAGTGGCTTGCCCAAGGCCACAGTCCATCACAGAGCTGGGATTAGAACCCGGGGTCCTCAACTTCTTACCTAGTGCCCTTCCATACTTTCTCTCTTGACTCTGAAGACATTACTTGAAAGAATGACGATGTTGGCTAGAGACCTGACTGATCGTGTACCTTTCTATTTTAAGGAAGAATTTTATCTGTATTTCTTTGAGTTCCTCAGAGCCTCCATTCTGCCTGTGGGTTAGACCATCACAGTAGCACGCTGTGACGCGGCCCGGCCTGTGTCAGGGAACTTGTGCTCTTGTTTGGAAGCCCTGCTCCCTTGCGGCCACACAGGATGTCTTATCAGTTCCATTTCTACACAGTCAATCTGGGGTCCTGGTATGGGTGCCTTATTTCCCTAAGGTAATCGTGTCTAGTAATCTGCACAGACGAGCAAGTGGTTTTTCAGAATTTTCATCCTTCATTTTCCAAAGAGAAGGGCTTTTCAACAGGAACTGACCCCAAGAGAGGAGAAAGGAAGTCCCAGGGGAAGAAATGGCTAGTCAACATAGAAAAGTCTCTTCCTTGTCGGAGTCCCTCTCCTGGGCTTTCCAGACTGAGGGTGAAGCGCTGGAGAGGAAACAGGTCTAGACACTGCAGAACAGTAACCGGAGAGCGGAGATAAAGTGGGGTCCCGCTTCCTGCTTTAAAGATTTCTGGTATTTAATTCTCCATACTTGTTCACTGCTTTCCAAGGCAAATGTTGGCACGTGTGGTCTGACTACGGGGTAGGGGTTTTCAGTGAGCCCTCTGGCCACACCTGCGGTAACTGCACTGTCTTCCCTGATGGCTAAAGCCCTCTGCTTTTTACAGGAAAATGAGTCCCATGATGGAGGTCCCTGGTGAGTAGCTTTTTTCCTAATCAGAGTGATACAGTGCTAGTCTCATGTATCACCTTGCATGTTAAAAACCCCGAAACTTTCTAAGAACTTCCTGTAATAGAGCACATAAAAGATCACAATTGATCAAAGGATTCCTTGGGGATATCAGGTCCTATCCCTTTTGAAACCTGGTTTTGGTTTCCTCTGTTCTAAGTACATCTTTAGTGAGAGCACAATAAATTATGGGACACTGTGCCAAATGCTGTGGGTAAGGGATGTATAAATGAATGTTTTTCATTGTGAAAATGAGTATTTTTCACGTGATGTTATATAAACACATTTTTGAGAAATTTCCATCTCAGCAGTACAGGGAGGCCAGCTGTGCCTGGGAAAAGGTTTCAAAACACCCGGTCAGACAAGCAGTTCTCCTCTGGAGCATCCGAGTTGAGCATGAGCTAACTGCTCTGCTCACTCTATGGATGAAGTACCTGAGGGATGAAGTATCCCTTTGCACAGATAGTTGAGTATTGAGGAATGAAAGACTGCAGATTATTTGTAATAAACTTTGATGATGGAGCTGAATGAGAGAGTAGGTGTGCTTGTATTTGACAGTTTCAGGGCTTTCTGATTTCTGAAGTTTATTTTTGGTAATCTGTACATGGGGCTCAAACTCACAGCCCTGAGACCAAGAGTCATATGCCCTTCCCGCTGAGCCAGCCAGACGCTCCCCTGATCTACCTTAAGCAGCCTTATCTGAATCCTAGATCTTATGACACTGAGTCCCATTACTGACCCAGACAGTGTGCTAGGCATCTATTATCAAAGTGTACCTGGCACTTGGTGGCTGTCATCTGATAAGACTGAAGACCAGACATTTTAATCTCTTGGGATAATCAGAAAATGGGAGCCCATACTCTTTATTACTGAATTCAACTTTAGAAACAGATTGGTTTAAATCAGGGTGGTTCTTGATCTCAACCATTTACTTGGGTCTTTTTTTTTTTTTTTTAATTTATTTTATTTTTTTTTTACAAATAGTTTATTGTACTTGGGTCATTTTTTTCTAGTTTGGAGTTCTGGGAAAGAACCTTAAAAACTCACGTGGTTTTGTAGCATTACGTCTGGAGCAACTGCTTGGGCAACACACCAGTGGCAATCCTTTGTTGTGCTTTGCATTTCATGGGATTTGAAATAAGAATTCACTGTGATTATGCTGTCTTCTAGCCAGTGTCAGGCAGCTCTGCTTTAATTTGGTTATTTTTTCCGAAGAGGAAAAAGAGACTCAATTTTAGTCTTTGCCTCCACAGCCTATTAAAGCTCATGTGTTAATTCATTCTTATGTTACTACATTAAATGCCTTGAGTAAATGGATAGATGGACATGTGCTCAGCTTTATTCTTTTGCAACAGAAAGAAGAGATTTCAGAGGCTCTCTGGTGTTTTGGTAAATCTAAATGAATGTTGCCTTTAATTCTTCCAGTATATATATAACCATGTAATTCATGCTGCAGATGAAATCAGGAAGCAGTGCAGTGTTGAAGCAAGAGTATTGTCCAGTTCATTTGTCTTCCTGATCCTTGCACTTTATTCCACCTGTCACTATTTATGTCTCATACGTGTGTTTTCTGTGAAAGAAAAAGTTAAATAAATCTTGGCAATTTGATTTTCCTCTTCTTAGGGTGATATTTTCTCTTTTGCTTCTAGCTTTTAAATCTTTGGTGGAGATTGAAACTCAACTCCTTGCATCTCCCCTACTCTTTAAAAATTTTTTTTTTAACATTTATTTTTGAGAGACCAAGACAGAGCGTGAGCAGGGGAGGGGCGGAGAGAGAGGGTGACCCAAAACCCAAAGCAGGTTCCAGGCTCTGAGCTGTGAGCACAGAGCCCATTGTGGGTCTCAAGCTCACAAACTGTGAGATCGTGACCTGAGCCAGTCAGACACTTAACTGACTGAGCCACCCAAGTGCCTCGGCATCTCCCCTACCCTTACCCTGCCTTCCTATAGGCCAAAGAGCCCAGAATGTTTCTTCCAAAAACTCTAGGAAGAGGCCTTTGTGAAAGCCACTGAGGGTTAGTTTATTGTACTCGCGGAAAAAGCAAGCATAGTGGGAATTACTTCAGTGTGTTAGTGTTGTGCCTAAGAAGTGATCGATCTCCGGATCCATCTTCTATTTTTTGGATTAAAAATCTCTGGACTGTGACAGTCTTAGCATTCATAGAAGTGTGGATCTGGTAATTATTTAATTTTTATCTATTTTGAGAGAGAGAGAGAGACAGTGTCACAGAACTAAGAGCAGGCTCCAGGCTCCACACTGTCAGCACAGACTCGAACTCATGAACTGTGAGATCATGACCTGAGCCAAAGTCTGATGCTTAACCGACTGAGCCAGCCAGGTGCCCCTCCCTTTTTATGTTTTCATATTATTTATTTACTTTTTTTTCATGTTTATTTTGAGAGTGCGTATGTATGAGTGGTGAGGGGCAGAGAGAATCCCAAGCAGGCTCTGTGCTGTCAGTGGGGCTTGATCTCATGAACTGTGAGATCATGACCTGAGCCCAAACCAAGGGTTGGACACTTAACCAACTAAGCCACCCAGGTACTTTGGATCTAGTAGCATTTAACGTTTAGGTAATTTCCACCTTTGTTGGAGGTTGTTAGGAGGAGTAAAACTTTTTGTGAATGAATTCCTAACATCATTTCTGTACTGTGTACCTAGAGCCAATAACTTCTAGTAGTTTTCTGGTTTTATAAAATAGGTTATCCGTTTTCTTTCTATAGGACCCAAAATGCCCACAAAATTTAGTTTGTTTCATTTCTTTCAAGTCCTTTTAGAGAACTGTGCTCTATTAATACAGTTCTAGAAGGGAGAAGTCCATAGCCTTAATTAATTTCTTCTTTCTGTCTGTCTGTCTAGAATGTCTTCCTCCTCTCTGTTAATCTTTTAAGGCCAGCTTGAGTCTCCCTCTCTGCTGTGAGGCTGTTCTAGCTTAAGGATTACTTCCTTTCCTAACCCCTCATGGGTACCCAGTGCCTTTACTAACAGCATGTTATCTTTGTAAACCTTTTTCTCAAGAACATTGTTGGCACATTGAGTGGCAAAGACCGTATCACACTCCCAAGTATTCTCAGGGCTCAACACGGTTCCCCGAACATTTTGGTAATGTCCATGTTCATCGACTAGAAGGGTCAAAAGAAACCTGCAACTAATACACAGCTTTTGCTTTCAATTTGGCTGATTTTTAGGCCATTTGAGAATAGAGCAAGTTAGTAAGCCCTCTGTTACTCAAAGGGCAGTTTGGGAGATGTAAATGAGGCTCAGTATTGTGCATATTTTAGGAATTCTCCTGAAGTACACACACAAAGGCAGATTCCTCAGAGTACTTTCTAAAAAGAGATTTGGTACCTTTATTGAATGTGTCTATTTGATTTTGGAAGGTCAGGCTTGACTCAGGAGATCTCCTGAATGAATTTAGGGCAGAAAGCTTCCCTGCCAGGTGTGGGGAAGTGCTCCGTTCCTCTCAGCCCTGCGAGGAAAAGGAAGTCTAACTGCAGGATGGCTTTGTAGGGATGCATTCAAATTCAATAGTATCAGGACACCTGGGTGGCTCTGTAGGTTAATCATCTGACTCTTGATTTTGGCTCAGGTCATGATCTCCCAGTTTAGTGGGTTTGAGCCCAGCATCAAGCTCTTGGAATTGAGTGGAGCCTGCTTGGGATTCCCCCTCTGCCTCCCTCTCTCTCCCTCTCTCTCTCTCTCTCTCTCTGCCCCTCCTTTACTCATGCTCTGTCTCTCTCAATATAAACTTGAAAAAGTTTTTTTTTAATGTCTTATTTATTTTTGAGAGAGAGAGCGAGCAGGGAGGGTCAGAGAGAGAGGGAGACGCAGAATCTGAAACAGGCTCCAGGCTCTGAGCTGGCTGTTTGCACAGAGCCCAACACGGGGCTCGAACCCATGAACCACGAGATCATGACCTGAGCTGAAGTCGGACGCTTAACCGACTGAGCCACCCAGGTGTCCCCCCAACCAAAATTTTTTAATGCTTATTTATTGAGAGAGAGAGAGAGAGAGAGTGTGTGTGTGTGTGTGTGTGTGAGAGAGAGAGATTGTGGCTGTAGAGGGGCAGAGAGAGAGGGAGACACAGAATCCGAGGCAGGCTCCAACCTCTGAGGTGCCAACACAGAGCCCAATGTGGGGCTTGAACTCACAGACAGGGAGATCAAGACCTGAGCTGAAGTTGGATGCCTAATCAACTGAGCCACCCAGGCGCCCCTCAAAATAAACTTAGAAACAAAAGAAATTCAATAATATCAAGTAGTGAGTGATTTTTTAATTTGAATTTTTATTTGTTTTTAATTTTTATTTTATTTTGAGAGAGAGAAAGCAAGCAGGAGAGCGGCAGAGAAAGAGGGAGAGAGAGAATCCCAAGCAGGGCTGGAACTCCTCAACCTCAATGAGATCATGACCTGAGCTGAAATCAAGAGTTGGATGCTTAATGGACTGAACCACCCAGGGCCACCCCTCCTGTGAATGATTTTTGTATTTTTAAACTGAAGGCTGTTTTGGCTCTCTTCACCTGTGCAGTTCAACCTAGACCTGACTTTGGAACAGATCATGACTAAAAGACTTGATAAAATGAAGAAAATTTAGATAAGGAGTAGGAGATTGCAGAATTGTAGTGATACAGACTGGTGGTTTCTACTGTAACTTCTTAGAATAATTAGTGATTAATCTAGGAATTAAATAGCATTTTACCCGAGTAGGAACATTTAAATGTTTTTTTAAAAAAAATTTTAAATGTTTTTTATTTATTTCTAGGAGAGAGAGAGTGTGAGCAGACGAGGGTCAGAGAGAGAGGGAGTCACAGACTGAAACAGGCTCCAGGCTCTGAGCTGGCAGTCAGCACAGAGCCTGACGCGGGGCTCGAACCCATGAACTGTGAGATCATGACCTAAGCAAAAGTCGGACGCTTAACCGACTAAGCCACCCAGGCGCCCTGAACATTTAAATGTTTTACATGGACTTTAGGTATCTTCATAAACTACTTACGAGTGGTAGGGCTTTTTGTTTACTCTTGGTTTTACTTCTAGTTTCTGGGCTGTTTATTCCATCCTTACCTGCCTGGAGATAGAAGTACAGACAATGGACTTTTGATAGCTCTGATGCGTGAGTTAAAATAACTTTGACCTTCACTGGCCTGCAGAACTGGTGCCATTGCCCTGTACTGACCATTTTAATTCTTGAATCTCAAATTGCCAAGTGAGAAGGGTGTGCTTTTTGGTCTGTTTGCTAGCTGCCCCCGCGGCATCACGCTCCGTGCTGGAGAAGATGGTCCTACAGAGCAGTGGTCAGCCACAGCTGCACGAGAGGCTCGCCTGGTGGACCATTTAGAAAATGGTCCCTGTCTGCTTGAGCCCCCCAAGGAATTCTGAGTTACTGGCTACGGTTGGGCCCTGGCATTGATTTAAAAAAACAAAACTTTTTATGTGGTTTTCAAATATCCATCGCAATCATTAGAGGCTGGAAGGCCAACGGTCCCAACAAAGATGAAAGATAATTGAGTAGACAAAATGTTTGGTGTTCTTTTCTGGTTACAGTCTCTGGCTACACAGGCTGGCATCTACGCTTCTTGTGTGCCTTTCCCACCCACCCCCACCCCACTCCCCGCCTGCCCCCATGTTTCCTCTGTTTTTCCTGACTATCAAATTTTACCTGCCCCGTTACCCATTCTCTCTGGGCCCTGCTTTCTGGGAAACAATTAACTAATAGGGTACTGATGTACACTAATGGATGTTAATAATTGACTGCAGTTCTCTGCCCATTGATCCCCTCAGCACATTTGGATGGGAACACATCTGGAAAAGAGCAATGCCTAATTTTGGCAATTTCAGACCCATTCAAGTGCCATTTTATTGATGGATGTGGAAGAGAGTGCTTGAGCAGGCAGACTCGACCTTGAGGAAGACCGCCTGGCCCGTTAAGTTCAGACCCTGCTGATGGGCACTGCGCAGCCTACCCAGAGATGGACCTGTGTGGCCCTGGTGAGCGGAATGAAAAACGTGCGGGTGGGTACTTAGCCCTGCGCAGGGCACGCTGGGCGAACCTGCTTTGGAGATTTCGAATGCTACACTCTGGGGCATGTATAGTGAAGGCTTCCCTTTGTTACTCTGTCCCTGGTCTTCGGCAAAGCTTCTCTCGGGAGCCCTCCCCCCACCTCCACATGCACACACAGGCCTGAGAGCAAAGGTTAATCTCATTTTGAGAGAAATGACCTGAAATGTGCCCACTCAACCAACAAGAAAACGCCATGTCTCATTCAGCAGTTGGTCTTGCTGCTTTCTTGCCTCGATCAACATTTCGTGTCTCAGTCTCCCTGGTATTTCTGGGAATGTATTCTCATTTTTTTTTCTTACCCGTGACATATTTGTGGGGTTCTGTAGCAAAAGGAGGCTGGTTTTCCAGTGCTGCATTTATAAAAGAATCTTCAGTGCTTTTTAAAATTCAGCCCTTTCCCCTCTCCTTGGGCCTTTTCTATAATTGTGTCTCTACAGTCTGTGATTACTGGAGATAGTCTAAAAAACAACACCAAAGTTTAAATTTGCTGCCATGGTTTGTTTTTGTGTTTTGTTTTGTTTTGTTGTTGTTTTACTTCCAAGTATCATTAGTTCTGAAAACTTGCTGAGGCAGTCAGGCCGCAGTGCCCTCATAGAGACTTCTCTAAATGTCCAGCAGGGGGCAGCCCATTCTCACTGAAAATTTCACTGCTTCTTTTTCTTCCAGGAAGCTAATTTGTTTCAGTATTAGCTGTATTCTTTGGTATATAAATTCCAGTGTAAATGGAAATATCCGAGATACATTTTTTTACTTAAAATTTTCTAAATGCTTATTTATTTTTGAGGGAGAGAGAGAGACAGAGACAGTGCAAGCGGGGGAGGGGCAGAGAGAGAGGTAGACACAGGATCTGAAGCAGCCTCCAGGCTCCAAGGGGTCAGCACAGAGCCTGACATGGAGCTCGAACCCAGGGACCTCTCATGACTTAAGCTGAAGTCAGAAGCTTAACTGACTGAGCCACCCAGGCGGCCCTGAGCCACGTTTCTTTAGAATGCATGGTTACATTGCTGTAATGGCAAAAGTTTCCTGGAGAAAACCATACCCATAATTTATGGGGGATGGGTCATCCAAAGGTCAGTTCTTCACAGTGAATGTCAGTACTCTTTAACATGGCTTTGGTAGGATTCATAGGTAATAAAAGCTATGTGTTTGCTTGAGAGGGGGAAGCAGCTACTTTGAGGTGTAATTACCAGCTGTTTGCCCATTGTCAGGGCTCCAAACTGAGCAGACCTCATCCAACACACAGTCCTAACTCTGCCTCTGCTCACTTACTGATCTTGTCAAAGGCAACCCAAAGGGTGCTCCCCTCCGTCAGATGCTAACACATTATCCATACGGCAGCTCAAAAGAAAGTAATAGCACATAGCAGGGGCTGAGCCCCTGTAAAGGCCTTAGAATACCTTTGATTGCTCCTCCTGTGCAGGTCATTAGATGAAAAGCAAACATTTGCAGAACATTGACATTTAAAAGTATGGGGTATTCAGCTAGGCAGACAGGCCTTGGGGACCAGACAAGATCAGTTCTTTGATATAGGAGCTTGCTTTCTTTATCCGTGTGATGCCTGATAGATACCCTCTTTTGAGCTCAAACTTGATGGGGAGTTTCTTTATTTTTAATTATGGAATACTTCATGGATTTGAGAGTCCTCATTCGCATGTGCAGGGGCCATGTTCATCTTCTCTGTGTTGTTCTGGTTTTAGTCTAGGTGCTGGTGCAGGGAGCATGGTGGTTTGGGAGTCTTTTGTTTTCTTTTTACTTCTACCCTCTAGGTTGTCAGATTTGCCCTGCAGAGAAATATTATGAATAATAGCTAACATACATTAAGCATTGACTATACGTCAGGAATGTTTCCAGTTGCTTTTTTTCTTGCATAATCCTTACAACAACCTTATGAGGTTGATAACTGTTAATACCTCTTCTTAAACTGACGCCAAGAGATATTACATGTCTTGCCCGAGATCACCTAGATGGGAAGTTGCAGACCTGGGATTCAAACCTAAGCAATCTGACTCCACATCCTCTCTTAACCATGACGTTACACTCCCTATCTCAAGGCCTCTTTGAAGTCAACAGCCCTTGAGCCCCTTTTTTGGATATTATGTTTAGGTATCTGGAATGATTAGATGGGCGGAGGTAAGTCAGAGGTTCGGTCTTTTTACCACCTTCTTAATCTGCCTCCAGAACCATAGCCTGGAGTTTGAGTGAGTGTACAGATAACAGAGTCTGTCTTTCTAGGGGTTCTTTTTAGAGCACTGTGTGGTCCAGCTAATATTAATCACTCAGCTAGATCAGACAGGGAGCTGATTTCCTAAAGTCCTAGAAGTTAGTGGAAATTCCGGTTTCTGATTACAGTACCAGCTGAACTTCTGCTGAGAGGTGAGTGACGTGTCTGGGGGATTTGGCACGGGTTTGTTCTTACTCCTGTGACCTTTTTCCTAATAGTTCTGCTGGGAAGATCAGAAAAGGATGTGGGATGGGGCGCCTGGGTGGCTTAGTCGGTTAAGCGTCCGACTTTCGCTTGGGTCATGATCTCGCGGTTCGTGGGTTCGAGCCCCGCGTCGGGCTCTGTGCTGACTGCCAGCTCAGAGCCTGGAGCCTGTTTCAGTCTGTGACTCCCTCTCTCTCTGACCCTCCCCTGCTCACGCTGTCTCTCTCTCTCTCTCCTAGAAATAAATAAAACATTAAAAAATATTTAAAAAAAAAAAAAAAAAAGAAAAGGATGTGGGAGAAAATACCATCTTCAGAGGACCCTATAGGGAAAAGCTTTCGGGGGACAAGGAATATTTGAAGTAATCTCTGCCTTTACTAAATCAAACCTCTGTCTAGTTGGAACTTGGGGAGACTGTGCCCAGATGCTGAAAGCTACTACTTAGGTTGGCTGGGTCCAGTACAAGACGGGTGATAAAGGCTTATAAAAATAAAGAAGAAGGAAATCTGGAATTCGTGGACATAGCAGAGCTAGACCAAGGATAGCTGGCAGGAAAGGGCTATTACACATATTTATGAATGCCACGGGAAAGGCCGGCCAGGGAGGCAGAGTCTAGTCTAGGATGTGGGAACTAACCAAGAACCAAACGGGTTGTTTGAACATGTAATCATTCTCATTGTTCAGAATTCAAAAAACCTGAGTATCTTGGATATTGGTATTATAGACTGGTCCTGAAAGAGATAAAAGACGTTGGCAGAAAAATGGTTGAAATTGGTGTAAAATCTGTATATAGTACACAGTATATAGAAAAAAAAAAAAAGGACAAATGGATAGACTGAACATCGAAAAATCTCCCATTCTGTTCCCTCGGTACCCAGTGTTCTTCCCATTAACCAACCAATGTGATTAGTCATATTTTCCTCTAGAGCCTTTTATTTTTAATACTTATACAAGCATGTATGTCTGCATTCTACTTGCAACAAATGGTCAGATACTATATACACCATTCTGACGCGCACTCTCTTAAGATATTTTAATACTACGTGTTAAGGAGCAATCTATTATTTTCTAACATTTTTAACTTAGGTTACACCCTGCAACTTCAATAACACTGCGTACCTTGCTTTTGCATTTAACACTGTAACAGAGTTTTTGGTGAGCTGTGTGTAGCATCTGACAAGATAACAAGGGGTCTGTCCTAAGAAAGTCCCCTTGTCCCATAATAGAACGCGAATGCCCGAGACTTTTGAGAAAGGTCGCCGTGCCTTTGTGAGCTCTAGGTTTGTCATAGCCTAGGTCTGCCCTTGCGTTTGGAGAACTACTCATTCTGGCTGCTGTTCTTAGCAAATCGGGGGCTGGTGCACTTTGAGCGCAGGTCTCCAGATGTTCTCTGCTTTTGTTTGGTGTGGGCACCAACCAGTTCAGTGAGCCCTTGGTAATCAAGAACATAACATTTTACATTTGCGAAGTGATTTTCATTGACAAAGTACTTTGTGTTATGGATCTTACTCCTCCCAAGAACAGACAGAGTGAGTTGCCCATATTGTACCGATGAGAAAGCCTTTGGAAGACCTTGAGTCAGGTATTCTGACTCTAAATCATATACTGTCTTCATCCCCTCAAACTGGTCCTCTTAGTTCCCAAAGCTCAATTGATTGGAATGTTTGCCTTCCTGCTTCTACTTCTTCAGTAGATAACTATTATAATGGCTAATACTTGAGGGTTGACTCATGTCAGTCAGGTACTAATTGAAGCACTATATATGAATTATTTAATCTTAACCACGAGGTAAGCTTTATAGCCTTATGCCGAAGCCAAGATTCAGAGAGGGCAAGTTATTTGTTCAAAGTCACACAACTAGTAATTGGCAGAGCTTGGATGTCATTCCAGAGCATCCTGGCTCCAGGAAGTACTCTTAGCCAGTCTGTATTCTGCCCTGAATCAGAACTGGCTGCCCCATGTCTTTGATTTGCTCTTCCCAAGAATTCTGGAGAAGTTGTGCTCCGGAAATCCAATACTAGTTATACAGCTAGTGATGAACTGTTGCATGGAGATAGACGACGAAGCAAGGAGTAGTAATAACACCTGGTTATGAGTGTCCTAGCTTCTGCGTTCATCGTGATTCACTGTGTGGCTCCAGCCAAAGCTTCTTCCTCCTTGTCAAGTATTCCCAGCCTTGTAAAAATATAATTAAAATTTTGAGGTGAAAATATTGGAGTCCCACAGGATTAAGACAGTCTTTGTATGGGGTACCTGGGTGGCTTAGTCAGTCAAATGTCCAACTCATGATTTCGGCTCAGATCATAATCTCCCAGTTGGTGGGATTGAGCCCCACAGTACCATTAATGCTATGGTGATAATTACTGCTTTGCATTGAATTAAGCACAGACCCAGGTTAAGTACAGACCCAGGAATCAGTTTCTCAGGGTCATCCTGCTGAATGAGATTGTTGGAAAATGCCTGCATGTACCTCAGGTTTTCTGTACATGAACTGGACCATTTACCAGTTTGTTATTTTTTTAATTAAAATTTTTTTTTTCATGTACCACTTCTTGATGGCCTTTTCAATGGGATGATGCTTCTGGGTCTACCTTACGAGGACCACCTGCTTACAGGTCTCTCCCTCTTGCATTTGGCCTTCTCTTCCAGCGGGGTGGCTCTAGAATCATTGAGCTTGGATGAACATTTACTTTGTAAAGCCCCATGGATGGTGAGGAAGAAGCGATTTTGTAAATGTGAGTCAAGAGGCCAGAGAGCATGACAGTGATGTCATTCAGACTTCTTCAGCATTGGCACTGACCTTTTCTGCTGTGACACTGGGAGCTCTTACAAGCACCAGAGTTGATGTCTGTTGATCCCATCTGCTTGTGTTTCTCCGTATTCTTGATGCTTTGTCTGACGGGAGTGGGGCAAGTCTGTCCCTGTCTTCCCTTGAATCACTAGATGAGTGAGCTGCACGTGGCTGTCAGAACTCTGTGCTTTCATACTGAGAATGTCACACTGTTTACTGAGTGTTGCTTTAAACCCACAGCCTAATCTCAGCTATTTCTTGTGGCGCTCCCGTCATTAGTGTCTTGTGTGTGTTGGTGGAGGGTGGGGGTTGTGTGGAGGAGACCAGAGGAACAGTAGAGAGGAGGGGGTGTTGAAGCAGCTGAGTGCCACCGTGCTGTGTGGGTAACGCAGCTGAATTCCAGGAGCCCAGCAAGAGAGGGATCGGTTTAATCTGGCAAAAGCTGTAGCCAAATAGGGACAGACTTGCTTCTTGATAAGCAGTTTTAGCTGTCACTGGCTTTTGCTGGACAAGTGGTGGCCTCCAAAAACTCTCTTCATACTCTTCCTGAACAGCAGATTGTTGACATGGAAATTACTGTTGCAGATGTTTTTAAATCAATGACTTTGAAATATTAGCGTGTGCACAGTAAAATGCCCTGCCCGACTCTCAGAGATTCTGACTCAGTGGATCTGGGGGTGGAGGCCAGGAACCTGCATTTTTCAACACACAGCAGGTGACTCAGATGGCCCGTGGACCATGCTCCCCAAAAGACTTAGATTTTGTTCCAGTTTTCATTTGGCCCAGTTTCTGAAACAGCCTCTTTTCTGCTGCAGTCTGTTTTAATCAATTTCTTTATTGAAGGATTTATTAGCATCTCCATGTTTACTACCTGCTCCTTTCTCACCTCATCACAGTAAGTAGAGAAGGAACCAGAGGCAGTTAACTCCATTTTATTGGGGGTGCGGGGGTGGGAGGTGGAATCGAGGCATGGGAAGACCTGGGTCACAGTGAGTCAGAGGCAGAGGTGGGAATTGAAGTCCAGAATTGATGCCTCTCAAACCAGGCAATTTTCTAGGGCCTATTTTTTCAGCTTGTAATTTCATATTTAATCATAGTTACTCCGTAGGTATCCCATTCATTGAGCTTGGGTAAGGAAAGCATATCTGAGTTTTAAACAAAATAGCAGTAATTAGTGCTAATTTTCGTTCAGCAGAGTGAGGCTCATCTAAGCTTGAGCAAACGTATGGATGATGATATGTGTGGGACTTGACTTGATGCGTTTCTGTCTGTATTTGCTTCCTCTGCCATTTCTGAAGACTTTTTACAGCAAGTATAAGGCAGCCGATTTCTCCTCCCCACGCCAGTAGGAAACCCCTCTGATCTTCTAACTGGTAAAGTGCAAAATCCAGAAACCTCCTAGCTCTTTTTTTTCCTCAACCTTGAGTGGTATTTGGATCCATTTTTAAAGGAAAAGAAAATCGCGAAAACTCTCAGGCAACTTATTTTTATTACAATGTTACTTAAACTTGCAAATATAAAGTAAGAATATAATGTTCTTTTATTTATAGTTCTTATATGCTAGAAAACCAAGACAGATTTACAATTTAAATACAAGCGAGACTGAATTATCCCTCATATTGTGACAGTGGTCTTGCCTGGGAGAGCTCAGTTTCTGTTGAGTTCAAAGTGCCGGTGCCACCAAGTGACCCATGGCACTCTGCTGCTCTCAGTAGTTTTCTGTTAGAAATGCTGCAACAGTGAATTATCCTAGAATGGCAGAAGCACTGAGACACACATGCAAATGTGAGGATAGAAGTAGTGTGGCCATACTGGTTAGAAAGTGGTCCTTCAGATAATCCAGAATATGCTCATATCAGTCTCAAAAATGTTACCAACACGAAAACCAAATTGAAAACCGAGCCCTACAGAATACATCCAGACTTAATTCGAGAGAGACTGTTCAAGTCCATTAATTCCAGACTCGGATCTATCAAAAGCTCCATCTACTGGGTTGACTATTTTTTTCAGTCTCCTAAATTGTGTTTATTAATAACTTTGTTTTTGTTAATCAGACACATAGAATTACCATTTCAGAGCTTATGATCGCCATGTGTAGTTCATCACTCTAAGCTCCTTACATTGTAGCCCAAAACAAAAAACAGGGGACATCTAGTTCTGGGTGCCCTTAGAAGGGTAAATGAAAACTCTCCAGTAAGTTTTGTAAGAAAGGACTCCAGCACCTCCCCTCCTCCTACTGCTGGCCCTGAGGACTCAGTGGAGTTCTAGGGATGCCAGTTTAGCCCTTCTCTGACAGCAGAGCAGCCACTGCACCCAATCTGGAAGGATTAAAGCTTGTCCTAGTTTTGCGTGATTGTTGTACTTGTAGCACGCTAAAGACTTAAAAGAGGGAGGAAGAATAAAAAAAAAAAAAAACAACAGAAGGCACCATTCCAGTACGAAACTGAAAAGGAACACAAAAACAAGAGAGCAGCATGTTTTTAACAGCTTGCATGGAAAAAGCGGAAAAAATATTGACTGGGGAGTTTGGACAGCAGCGTTCATTTTCTCTCGCCGCCCGCGGTATTTGTCTTACGGAGCAGGAGCCAGATACAACCCTGGCTCGCAGGCCAGAGGAAGAGGTGGAGGGGTGCTGCGTGAGCTTGAGGCTAGCGGGGAAATTCGGGCCGGAGACCCGGTGGCTCAGAGCCAGGACGAAGGCAGGGGAGGCGCTAAATCTGATTTCCTCCTGCCCTGGGGCATCCTCTTGGGTCCGTGAGTCCGGGGAGCAGGGCTCGCTCGCATCACTCACGTAGGTCCTCGACCTCGTCAGCCCACCATGAGCGGAATGAATTCCTGTCCCTGTTTCTTTCGGCTGCGTAAAGGATGCGGGGGCTCCATTCGCTTCCTCAGCGCACCCTTCTTCTGGAGTGCAGACCTGCAGCTGCCGCAACGGGGTCCACGCAGGGGCCTCTGCCAGTGGGGCCGGGACTCCGCTCCCCAACTTCGGAGGAGCTGGAGCGCCGGCCTTAGCTCTGCCTGCCCGGGCGCGGGGCGGGGCCCGGGCGCGGGGCGGGGCCCGGGCGCGGGGCGGGGCCCGGGCGCGGGGCGGGGCCCGGGCGCGGGGCGGGGCCCGGGCGCGGGGCGGGGCCCGGGCGCGGGGCGGGGCCCGGGCGCGGGGCGGGGCCCGGGCGCGGGGCTGGCTGCGGCGACCAGCCGGAGGAGAAAGAACATGGCGGGCGCAGCGGGGCCCGGGACCGGCCCGGGGGCAGCGGGAGGAGATGGAGACGATTCGCTATACCCGATCGCGGTTTTAATCGACGAGCTCCGCAACGAGGATGTGCAGGTACTGAAATCGGGCCGAGGACGGGAGGCGAGCCCGGCGGGGTGTGTGTGGTAGGGGAGGAGGCAGGCCGGCTCCGCGGCGGAGGAGGAGGCCCGGGACCGGAAGAGCCGGCTTCGGAGCAGAGATTTGACGGGGAGGAGGGGAAAGACCCGTGAGGGGCTGCGGTGGCCCGACCACACCTTCCCCTGGACCCGGGCGGCACTCCCCCTCCCAGCGCCCTAGGCGTCGCCCCGGTCCCGGCGGTTGTGGGGGGCACCGGCTTCCCGCCTGGGCGCCTCTTCCGGGCGGTGTGGAGTGGGGGGGGGACGCGCGTCCCGTCCTGGGCAGGGAGGAGGCGGGGGGGGGGGGATGCCGGGTCCTGGGAGCTGCAGGTGAATGAAAGCCTTCCTCTCGGCCAGGAAAGTGGCTGGGCTTGTTGGGGACCGAGTGGGGTGACTTATCAACCTAGAGGAGTTGGAGCGTCAGCTCTGCTGTAACTTTTCTGTGGAGCGGCCGTGGTCGTCTGCAGCCGTTTCACCTGCTTCTCCAGGGCCAGTGGGCTCTCAGTTTGGAACTGTCTCCCTTCCCCGGATGCGGTGTTCTCTTTCCTTTCTCTAAGGGGCCCTTTGAGTGCTGCTCTTAAGTAACCTTCCTTTGGCTAAAACGAGGGCGTGTTCCATTGCGGCCGAAATCCCTCATAAATCAAACCTAAGTTGAAGGCTTTCCTTATTGTCACCGTGTGTCGTTCTCTCGCCTGTTTGTAGCGTTCTTGTTTTGCTCTAAGTCACGACTGTTTATTCCTTCCACGGTCTCTCTTTAAAGCTCCGCCTTAACAGTATTAAGAAGTTATCCACAATCGCTCTAGCACTTGGGGTGGAAAGGACGCGAACAGAACTGCTGCCGTTCCTTACAGGTATGTGGATGTTGTGTTTAAAGAAAGGCATGGCCATTTCCGTTTTCCATGGCTTTCAAATTTTCTAGTGGCTTTCGAAACTTTGACTCTTTTTTAGACTGTGTTACCCGTACTGCTAAGTACTAAGTAGGGCCTGATGCACCCTGTGAGGAAATAAGACAGGGCATAGTGTAATGTGGGCAGACGTATTCAAACATTTAACTGTTTAGCTCGTGGGAAAGTCATTCATACGGGGTTGTCGGTTTCTAATGCATTGTGTAAAACACATCCGGAATGCTGTTAGGACTGTGACAGGCCTCACTAGGTAAATATCGTGTCTATTCCTAGTTCTGTGTGAGTGTCCAGCTCCGGGTCCTGCTCTCTTTGTTGATGAGTACCGGGTCATTGTCATTTCCAGATACAATTTACGACGAAGATGAGGTACTGTTAGCTCTTGCTGAACAACTGGGAAATTTCACTGGTCTGGTGGGAGGTCCTGACTTTGCCCACTGTCTGCTGGTGAGTATATTTTGCCTACCATTCTTCCAGAACTTGTCCAGTTTAAATGATACACTGTTTGATGATAGGGACACTACAGCATTAAAAAAAAATTTTTTTTAATGTTTTATTTACTTCTGAGAGAGAGAGAACGTGAGCAGCGGAGGGTCAGAGAGAGAGGGAGACACAGAATCTGAAACAGGCTCCAGGCTCTGAGCTGACAGCACAGAGCCCAACGTGGGGCTTGAACCCACAAACCACGAGATCATGACCTGAGCCAAAGCCGGACGCTTAACCGACTGAGCCACTCAGGTGCCCCACACTACAGCATTTTTAATGCAGGTCTTTTTTTGTAGATAGCTCTGGTGTTGGCTATTGAGAGAAAGATAATGTAGGCACTTTGGACTCAACCCTTTATCTGACTGCAAGGATAAGAACTTTCTGTGGACTTGACAGTTTAGAGATTGGGAGAAAAAGGATTCGATTATTTTCATGGGTCCTCTCCCCAACCCCTGAAATTGGAGCTCTTAATTCTCATGTAGCAGTGTAATGGATTTGGAAATATTTATTAGCTTTTTCTTCTTCTTCTTCTTTTTTTTTAAGCTTTTATTTCTTTAAGTAATCCCTATACCCAGGGTGGATCATATACCCAGTTTGAACTTCTAGCCCTGAGATCAAGAACTATATACTCTATGGACTGAACCAGTCAGGTGCCCTGGAAATGTTTATTAGCTTTTTATCTTTGATTGTAAGCCTATGTTTTGCTTCTGACTGACTTTGTAGATTTGATGAGTTCAGTTCAGTTTGGTTGACATTTACTGAGAGCCTACTGTATCAGGCACTAAAGTTACAGCGTTGGTGTTAAAGACCAGTGTGAATGGAATGAGGTCTCTGCCCTTACGTGTCAACAAATAATTACTGTACAGTGTAGATGGAAAAATAGGAGCACATACGAGATACTTAAATAACAGAAAGGAGAAAGGAATTAACCCAGGGTGATGAGAGAAAACCTCTTGGGGGATAATGTCTGAATTGGGTTTTGAAGGGTGACAGCAGTTGGACAAGATAGAGATGTATGCTTCATGGCTCAGATACTGTCTGCATGATGTTGACTTGTGATTTCTCTTTCTGCCTCTGACCTTTCCATTGAATTCTAGATACAGAGATAGAAATATCTGCTTATATTTCTCTACATATCTGCCTGTGGTTTTTCCATTTGGATGTCAAGCAGGCATTTCAAATTTAACATGTCTCGGTGGCTCATTTGGTTAAGCATCCAACTCGATCTTAGCCCAGGTCTTAAGCTCAGGTTCTGGAGGTCAAGCCCTGAGTTGGGCTCCCTGCTGGGCATGGAGCCTACTTAAAAAAAAAAAAAAAAAAAAGTTAACGTGTCTGAAACAGAACTCCATTTTCTTCCCAAAATATGCCTGTCATTTAGTGGTTCCATTTCTGTAAATGGTATCACTGCCCACCCATTTGCACAGGGCCAAAACTGAGAAGACATTCTTAAAAATTCTCTTTCACTCATTCCCCATTTTCAGTCCATTAGTAATTCCTGTAGATTCGAACTACATTCTAAATCAGTTCACTTTCCTTCTTCCCCACTACCACCTAGCTCATCTCTCGTCTTTCCAGACCTCACAGTCTTTATTCTAGATTTTACTGCGGTAACATCCTGACCATTAGTCCTATACTCCCGCCTCCCAGCCTGCCCTGTAGTCCACTCCTCACCTGGCACATGGATTGCTTCCTGCCACAGCTCTTAGAAAATCCACATTCTAGGGCACCTGGGTAGCTCAGTCGGTTGTGTCTAACTCTTGATCTCGGCTCAGGTCATGATCTTATGGTTCATGAGATCGAGCCCCACATTGGGCTCTGCACTGGCAGCTTGGTGCCTGCTTGAGGTTCTCTCTTTCCCCCTCTCTCTGCCCCTCCCCTGTCTGCGTGTACTCTCAAAATAAAGCAAGACAATCCAAATTTCTACTTTAGGTTTTGTAAGCTTAGTTACAAGCTATATCTGAATTGATCTCCTACCATACCTTTTTCTCATAACCTCATTCTGTTTATAGGGATCTTCTTTCTCTCCTTTGAATAAACCAAGCTTATTATTACCTTAAGGTTATTGCCCTGAGTTGTTCTCTCTAATGTTCTTTTGAGCTTCTGGTGGCTGGTTCCTTGTCATTCAGATATCATCTTCAGTGCATCTTCTCACAGAGGCCTTTCCTGAACACCCAACCTGAAATTGCCTCTGAGTCACCCCTTGTCACGTCATCCTGTTCTGCTTCTTGACAGAGCGCTGAAGTTGTCTCCCTGCACTACAGTGTAAAGTCCACTAGAGCGAGGGACCCATCTAAGGGCCTTGTTTTTCCTCTGTCCTCAGTACTAAAATACAGCAGTAATCACTCGTTGACTCGGGTTTGGAAGCGTGAAACAGGTTGTGGTGCTGGGGTGCACAGAAGTGGTGAGGGGGACAGTAGGCGAGGGCGTGGAGAAGCAGAGTTACAATCCAGAGACAACTCCTCTTTGATTCTCAGGACTTGGTCTTCTCCTGTGGTAGTGATGGGGACCAGTGGCACTGGATGAGACGAGCTCCGAGAAGGCAGGGGTAGATTGTGAAAGGCCTTTGCAAGTACGAAAGAGTATCCTTTTAAAGGGCTTCTGGAATACCTCTTAGGAAAGCGAAGTACTTTCTACTTTGTGTAATTAAACATTTTTTGAAATGTATTATCAGTAGAAGGTTCTTTTCTTTGAGTCTTAATTTTGTTTCAGTCTCTTGGTGAGTCCCGTGTTGGGGATTTTGCCTTGAATGTTTGCAGCTCGTGGCGTATGCTGAATATGCCTCGACCAAATGCAGACCCAGAAGGGGAGAGGCTCAGAGCACAGGCCTCTTGCACTTTTCACTGGGCCGGGACGTGTCCACTTCCTGATCCTAGTCCAGGCCAAGCCTTTTGGTCTCTCCTGTTTCAAAAGCTGCAAACGAGGATTCCTACATCTCTGTGCTCCTCATGCTCTGTCCCCAACTCCTGCTGTCCGTCTGGCTCCTAGAGGCGGCATGTTTTCTGAAAGAGCGGTTTTGTACTTAGCCTCTTAGGTGTAAGGTGAGTCAGTGGTGTGGAGCGGGTGCACGGCGCTGCTCGCCTTCCCAGGGGTGCTTAGGATAGTAGTCCAAAGGCTGCGCGGACTCGGTGGCCTGATGAGAGGCCATCTGTAATTGTGCCGCCCGGTGTTGCTTGTGTGTTTGCAGTTTCTCCTGAAGAAGTAAACGTGGTCTTATCAGAATCTGGCTACGTACCTTTTAAACCTAGTCATTGAGCTCACAGCAATATTAACATTGTGTCGAGTCTCCACCGTGTGGTTTGTAGACACCATCTGGGAATTGCCATCTGGGACGTGAGACCTTGGCCGTCCTACAGGAGTCGTGTCTTCAGGTTGGACACACCATATGTTATCACTGTGTGAACTGAAAGTAACCATTTGGCGTGATGTAGCGAGCATTCTGGTTACATGTGCCACCTCCCTTCAGTCACCGTAAAAGGCGATAATCTGTATCTATCCTGATTCAATACGTTTTCCTCTCCGATCTTTCCTTTTTGGCCTGTTCAGCCTCCTTTGGAAAGTCTGGCGACTGTAGAAGAGACGGTGGTTCGAGACAAGGCCGTGGAGTCGCTGCGGCAGATCTCCCAGGAACACACTCCTGTGGCCCTGGAAGTGCACTTTGTCCCTCTGGTGAAGCGCCTGGCGAGCGGGGACTGGTTCACTTCTCGCACATCTGCGTGTGGCTTGTTCAGCGTTTGCTATCCCAGGGCTTCAGATGCCATCAGAGCAGAAATTAGACAGTAAGATACGGTGTTTGCTTTAGTTACTTGGGGTTGTTGGGAACTCCTGGCTGACCGTTACATGGTGCCTGCTTGCCTGTGAGTGGCTGATAGCAGGACACCAGTGATAACCTGACTTTTTATCATTCAGTTGAATGTACCATTGGTTTTAGATGTGTTACTTCCAGGATTAGAAGCCTAATCACTGATGTTTGTAGAAGAAAACCTCTAACATGGCTGCATGCGTGTGCGTGCGTGCGTGTGTGTGTGTGTGTGTTTCGGTGGTATTTAATTCAGTGGTACTTGACAGGAAATACCTTCATTACCATTTGCTCCAGGCACTTCCGTTCGTTGTGCTCAGATGACACTCCCATGGTACGACGGGCTGCTGCTTCCAAACTGGGTGAATTTGCAAAAGTTCTGGAATTAGACAGTGTGAAAAGTGAAATTGTTCCGTTGTTCACTAACCTAGCTTCAGACGAGCAGGTAAGTTGGTCGTTAGTATCTGAGGTACATACATTTCCTTTTCTCTAATGTTGTAAGGATTCCTTTGGGAGTTTTGGTTGTATGTTAGGATCCTTTTTGTAAAATTAATACTTAATTTTGGGCTAGATAAAGTTTAATATGACTCATCTCGGTGCTTTTTTTTTTTTTAATTAATGTTTTTATTTACTATTGAGAGACAGAGAGAGTCAGAGCATGAGCGGAGGACGGGTAGAGAGAGGGGGAGACACAGAATCTGAAGGTGGCTCCAGGTTCTGAGCTGTCAGCATAGAGCCCAACGCGGGGCTTGAACTCAAAAACTGTGAGATCATGACCTGAGCCGAAGTCAGACACTTAACTGACTGAGCCACCCAGGCGTCCCTCGGTGCCTTTCTCTTTCTTTTTCAACCAGAGGGTGATTTTGTCTTGCACTAGCAGTGGTTACAAGAAGAGTCAGACAGGAGATGGGAATCCCCTAAGAAGGAAAGACCAAAGCTGTGTTAATGGCTAACACACTTTCGTGCATCGCATCTGGTCACAGTGGGGTCATGTTGTCTGGAATTTTTGACTTTGAGATAAATGTGTGTTAGGAAGGCTGCCTGAGCCTCTCTCCTCTGGAGGAGTGTATAGGGGGACTTTGCATAATAGCAGTTTTAAGTCCAAGGATCTAGATCTTTTTGGTAGAGATAGTAACAATAAGGAGCACGTGTAGTAACTGTGTGATTTTTCTTAGCCTGTTCTAAGGGATTTACGTAAAAGAAGTACTTGGGTAGCAGTTGCCCTGTGAGGTAGATAGCCCACATTATGTATTAGGGAACAGACTCTGAAGATTGAAGTAGCTTTTTTGGGGTGGCGTAGTTAGCAGTCGCGTAAATGGGGTTAGAATCTAGGCAGTTTGGCTCCAAGTTCACAGCCGTCACAGCTAAGCTGGGCTGACTGCCTTATGGTTAGAGGATCCACCCCCAGAGTTTCTGGAGCCTAGAAGAATGCGTGTGGGGTTGTAACTTGCCTGGTGTCTCCCTGGAATCACTTCACACGTGGGGGACCTCTTGATGAGCCTCAGATTGAAAGATGGTAAATTTACTTTAAAATAATTTTAAAAACTTACTGAAATAACACATAGAAGAGAGCACAAAATACACAACTCCGAATGATAAGAAGGTTAGGAAGCAGAACTTGGACAGCCACCCGGAGCTGGAAGGCCCCCGAGCTCCCTCCCTCGCACGCCCACCCCTGTCCCCCCCAGATAACACTTGCTTGACTTTTGTGGTTACCAGCTGCTACTTCTCTTTGTACTTTTAGGGAACTTTATAATTTAAAACCACACTGTTCAACAAATAGAATGTAAGTTACCTGTTAATTTTTAAGTTTTCCAGTGATCACATTTTAAAAACTAAAAAACAGGAAATTAATTTTAATAATTTACTTAACACACCATCCAAAATAATGACCATTTGAACATGGAACATTACCATATTTCATGGACTCAGGAGCCACATGTGGGTGGTGGTTACCACGTTGGACAGCGGAGGTTGAAGTCCTCATTTAGGGTTTTATTGATTTTTGCTTCCCATGGTATAATTTAACATTTTTTTTGATCCCCTGTATTTCCTGCAGCTTGATAGTTGAATCTAGTGTGGGGGAGGAGGCTTTGCAAACTTTGCCTGTAAAGGGCCAGATAGTAAATATTTTCAGCCTTGTGAGCCAGTCTCTGTTGTAACTACTCAACTGTGCTCTTGTAGCACAAAAGCTCTGTATGTAAACTGATGTGTGTGGTGGTGGTGGTGCGGTAAAACTTTATTTACATAAAGTAGCTGCAGTTCTGGATGGGGCCAGTGTTTGCCCCTTCCGTGATCTAGAGGCTTGATGGGATTTAGGTTTGGTATTTTTGGGGTAGTAAGACCACTTCATGTGTGGGATTGTATACTTCGTTAAGAGGCATGTAATTTCTAGTTGTGGTATATTAGAAAAAATAATAAGTGCTTAATCGTAAGATACATGTGTGTATAATCCATCTGACCACTGGTAGAATTGTGGCTTCTGGCTTATTCATTCTTTGAAAAGGTAGTTACTGAGTACCTGCTACATATCAGGCACTGTCCCAGGGCTGGGCTACAGTGTTCAACCATTATAAACAGGTCGGTAAGCATGATAAATGCGAGGGTGAAAATAAAGTCGGGTGATGTAACGGGGACTGATTACAGGGCATTCCTCTGGACTGGTTTGTCAGAGTAGGACTCTGCAGAGGTGGTGTAAACTGAGACACACAAGAAAAATGGCAGCCATACCCTGTTCTGGAGTACCAGAGCCCCAGGAGAAGAGAAGTGCAGGAGAGGGGGCCTAGGAAGGTTGGAACATGCTGGGTGATAGGGACTCTGGTGAGATCTTCTGGAGAAGATAGGCAGAGGCCAGATCATGAGGGGGCCCTTTAAGTCAGGGTCTGGAGTTTGAATTTTTTTTCTAGGTGCAGTGAGAATACACCTAGATTTTAAGCAGGGGTGGCGTGGCTTGGTGTAATTGATGTTTTAAAAAGAACATCCCGGCATTCTGGTTTCTGGGTGAAAGCTTAATGATAAGGGGGTCGGGAGGTGGGGTTTAGAAACCGGAAGACCAGTTAGGAGACTTTTGCCATAATCTAGGCAAGACAGGATGGTGAACGAAGGTGGCACAGTGACGGTGGGGAGAATCCGGACTTGGTTTGGAAGCAGAGTCACCAGGACTACGGCTGGGAGGAGGGAAGAGCAGTCAAGAAGACCTTGATCTTTGGCTTCAGCCCAAACCGGGTGGGTGGCGGTGTCATGGCTGAGACGGAGAAGAGGCCAGGAGGAGGAGCAGGTAGAGGGGAGAAAAGTCACTGATTAACAAATATTTATTGGTAAATATCTCCATAGATGATAGTAGTCCCTTGATATAGCATTGCTTTTAGATTCCAAAATTACTTGTATAGCCACTACCAAGAACCTAGTTCTGCCTTTTTTTAGCTTGTTCATCTGGGTGGAGGAGGGAGTATTTTGGGCATATTAGTAAATTATTGTTCATCAATGATTTTTAAAATTTGTAGTATTTTGAAAAGTATGTGTAATATTTATAAAATACGTAATAGCCTATGCGCATGTGCTATTCGGCGTTTTGGTCGCTCCTAGGTGCTTATGTTTGTGTATTTTTAGTTTCTATTTGTTATGCCTTTCAAATCTGTAATCTCAGTTTCTGATTTCTCATTGATGTGTCTAATTGTGTATTGCTAAATACTTGCTAAAAAGACACATAGGTATCACATGGACACTTGGCAGTTTACATTTGGGGAACTGAGGTCATTAATCTCATAGCTTTCTAAATTTTTTGCTGCATTTTTCTAGGCTTGGATACCTCAAAGTTATTGTCTCTGATTTTCAACATTTAAAGCCAGTGGGGTTTTGTTGTTGTTGTTGTTGTTGTTGTTCATTACTCTTTTAATTTATTTTTTGTGTGTTTCTTTCCAAGTCATCCTCTCCTGCATAAACTATTACTGCCTCCCCAAACTGAGTATTTTGAAAACTGAGCTTCCTGAGTGTTTCCCCTAGCCTTATTCTCTTGTCTTTGTTCTGATCTATTAAACAGCTAGGTCAAGTACAGCTTTCATTTTTATCCTTCAACAGCTTATTACAGGAAGGCCTTGAAGACATCATTAAAATGTTCTTTTTTGGGGCGCCTGTGCTGACTGCCAGCTCAGAGCCTGGAGCCTGTTTCAGTCTGTGACTCCCTCTCTCTCTGACCCTCCCCTGCTCACGCTGTCTCTCTCTCTTTCTCCTAGAAATAAATAAAAAACATTTAAAAAAAAAATTAAAAAAAAAATAAAAAATAAAATGTTCTTTTTTAATTTAATTTTTACGTTTTTATTTCGTTTTCCTTAATAAAAACTCTGCACTCTAGCCAAGATAATTACTATTCACTTTAGAACAAGGTTTTTGTTTTTTGTTTTTAAATGTTTATTTGTTTTTGAGAAAGAGCATGAGTTGGGGGAGGGACAGAGGATCCAAAGTGGGCTCTGTGTTGATAGCAGGGAGCCTGATGCAGGGCTTGAACTCACAAACCGTGAAATCATGGCCTGAGCTGAAGTCAGATGCTCAGCCAACTGAGCCGTCCTGCCATTCCGAGAACAAGGTTGTTTCTCCCTTTATGGATTTTGATACACTTTTCCAGGCAAAGGGAGCCGCTGTTTCAAGACATGAAGCTGTATGCAGTGGCGTTTTTTTTCTTCTTTTCTTTTTGTTTTTTAAAGTTTATTTATTTTTGAGAAACCGAGAGAGACCGTGTGAGCAGAGGGGCAGAGAGAGAGGGAGACACAGAATTGGGAGCAGGCTCCAGCTGCCGAGCTGTCAGCACAGAGCCCCACCAGGGGTCTCGAGCTCACAGACCGTGAGATCATGACCTGAGCCGAAGTCAGCCCCTTAACTGACTGAGCCACCCAGGGGCCCTTTTTTTCCTTCTTTTAAATGAAGCCTGCAGCGCTGCCTCAGACCACACGTGCTGCCTGTGGCTCTCCGTAGATATTGTCTGACTAACAGAAAGAAGTTGTGTTCCTGTAGGATTCCGTGCGCCTCCTAGCTGTGGAAGCTTGTGTCAGCATCGCCCAGTTACTGTCCCAGGAGGACCTGGAGGCTCTGGTGATGCCCGCACTCCGGCAGGCAGCGGAAGATAAATCTTGGAGGGTTCGCTACATGGTGGCTGACAAGTTTTCAGAGGTAGGGTTATTGTAGTGACAGTTTTTAAGTACTCAGAGAAAGAAACCCTTCTCTTCTGTTGTGTACCAGATGTTTTTGAATGAGTTCTTCTGAATGGGAAGTGCCTGTAGCAAGAACATACTTGAAGGTTACACTGTTTTGTTTGGCTCCTGTTAATTAACTTGTTAGTGTTAAAATCAGTATAAACAACAAATCAAAACCACACTGAGATACCACTTCACCCTGGTCAGAGTGGCTAAAATGAGCAAATCAGGAGACTCTAGATGCTGGCAAGGATGCGGAGAAATGGGTACCCTCCTACACTGTTGGTGGGAATGGAAACTGGTGCAGCTCCTCTGGAAACCAGTGTGGAGGTTCCTCAAAAAATGAACACTAGAACTCCCCTAGGACCCAGCAATAGCACAGCTAGGAATTTACCCAAGGGACACAGGAGTGCTGATGCATAGGGGCACATGTACCCCAATGTTCATAGCAGCGCTCTCAACGATAGCCAAAACATGGGAAGAGCCTAAGTGTCCATCCACGGACGAATGGATCAAGAAGATGTGGTTCATCTATACAATGGAATACTACATGGCAATGAGAAACAATGAAATCTGGCCACGTGTAGCAACATGGATGGAACTTGAGGGTGTTATGCTGAGGGAAATAAGTCAGGCAGAGAAGGATAAATACCATATGTATGCCCGTATAGGAGGATTCGGAGGAACTTAACGGAGGACTGTTGGGGAGAAGAAGGGGAAAAATAGTGGGGGAGAGGGAGGGAGGCAAATCATGAGAGACTCTTGAATGCTGAGAACAAACTGAGGGCTGATGGGGGTCGGGGGAGGGAAGGGGAGTGATGGGCATGGAGGAGGGCACTTTGGGATGAGCACTGGGTGTTATATGGAAACCAACTTGACAATAAACTATTAAAAAAAAAAACAACAGTATAAACCATTAAAACCAGTATAATTTGTTTTATAGCTCCAGAAAGCTGTGGGTCCTAAAATCACCCTAAATGACCTCATCCCCGCCTTTCAGAACCTACTTAAAGACTGTGAAGCTGAAGTCCGAGCAGCTGCCGCCCACAAAGTGAAAGGTTAAGGAGTTCATTTTGTGTCGCAGGACATAGCCTTCGTTTTGGTGCAGTTTTTAATGCCCATGACTTTTGTATGTTTGTTGTTGTGTGTCTTTACCTAGGAAACAACTGCAGATGTAGAAATGTCTTGTTGTGAGACAGAGCTACTCCTTTTATATTTAAAACCAAATAACCATTGTATCTTGTTGCTGTAAAAAGATGCCTTTTTAGGATTGTCGTATTTGGCATATAGGTTGACAAAAAGTACATTCAGAATAAGAGCTCTTTTCTCTCCTTGGAGCTTATTTGCTTAAACATAGGCTTTGATTTAATTTGCAACTGTGAGACACCTGGTGTCTTGTAAATGGCTGTATGTAAGCAATATTTTTTTTCTATTTATCTTTTAGAACTTTGTGAGAACTTGCCCACTGAAGGTAGAGAGACCATAATTATGAATCAGATTCTGCCCTATATAAAGGTAAACCTAGCTAGATTAGTTTTTGTTTCGCTCTGCCCTATATATATGATACAGGCAAACTTTACCTCAGTTTTTCTGTTTCTTTGTTTTACCTTAAAGCTTTTTGAGGGGCGCCTGGGTGGCTCAGTCGGTTATGACTGAAGCTTGATTTCATGTCAGGTCATGATCTCACGGTTCGTGAGTTTGAGCCTCGCATTGGGCTCTGCGCTGACAGTGCAGAGCCTGCTTGGGATTCTCTTTCGGTCTGTCTGTCTCTCTCTCTGTTCCTCCCCAGTTTGTGCACATGCGCTTTGTCTCAAAAATAAATGAGTAAACTTAAAAAAAAATCATATATGTTAAACCTTTTTTGAGTTTAAAGGTGGATAGGGAATAATTGGGACAGTTACGTTAACATGACATTGCTATTCATTACTTACTAGTGTTTGTAATTGTAAATGCTCTTTGGTGCATAGGTTTGTGTTATTTAACAGATGGCCTGAAGAAATGCATCAGCTAATCAATATTGAAGTAGTGCTGTCTCTTTAAATTCTTTGGGCGATGGTATGGAAGCCTCTGTTGTCTTGCCAAAAAAGAAGGCTTTTAATTTTGATTTTATTTTAGGAATTAGTATCTGATACAAATCAACATGTCAAATCGGCTCTAGCTTCTGTAATTATGGGATTGTCTACCATTTTGGGAAAAGAGAATACCATCGAACACCTTCTACCTCTTTTTTTAGCTCAGTTAAAGGATGAGGTGAGTGTATCTAAAAATTCTCTTGCCTTTGATAGTCTGATTTGGTTTGGTTTTGGTTTGGAGTTTCACTAAAATAGAACCTGAAACAGGGATGAAGGGATAAAAAAAAAAAAAAAGGTAGTTTATTTTAAACCAGTGACAATTCCTGTGTTTGGGTATGGAGTTCTATGTTCTGCAGAAAATGAGCACAAGGAGCCATTGATACAGACCTGAAAATGTTTGTAGGCCCTCTCTGCCTGATTCCTGCTGATACACACTGGTGTCCTCTCTTTAAAGCCAGTGTATCTTCATTTTAACCATTGTAAGTTAAATACAATATATCAAAATTCTAATGATAGCTAACATCTGGTGACTAATATAGTCTGTTAGGTTTCATCATAAATGCTTTGCCTGTATCATTACGTGTAATCCTCAAAACAATCTTATGAGGTCCATCTAATTATTATCCCTATTTTATAGATGAGGAAACTGAGGCAGAGAGCTAAAATAACTCTCCCAGAGTCTCAGCAGTGGCAAATCTGGGATTTGAATGCATGTAATTGATTACTGTCCTTATTGACTTTTCATTGAAAGTTCTGGTAGAGATCAGTTACATTTATGTGCTTTGAATTGTTTGAGTATTGAGTATTTCTTTTAAGGCTATACTTTTTCTCACCTGAGTCAGTATTTTCTTATTAAAAAAAAAAGTTTGTCAGTGGTTACCCTCATCGTGACAGTAGGAGAACATTGGGCAGAGACCTTGATGCTCATATGTGTTCTTGCAGTGTCCGGAAGTTCGTTTGAACATCATCTCTAACTTGGATTGTGTGAACGAAGTGATCGGGATCCGTCAGCTCTCGCAGTCTCTCCTTCCTGCCATCGTGGAGCTGGCTGAAGATGCCAAGTGGAGGGTGCGGCTGGCCATCATCGAGTATATGCCCCTGCTGGCGGGCCAGCTGGTGAGTACGTTTGCTCACCAAGGATGGGTAGTGTCAGCTCGTTGGGCACATTGACTGTGGCTCTTGGGAGCCCCACATAGCTTATCGGATTGTGTTCGTGTAGATGCATGAAAGTCTGGCCTGGTTGCCCGTAGCGCATGAACTTCCTCCAAGAAGGCACTACAGAAACACCTTTCACCTCCTTGCCCCCCAAAACAAAGCCATAGAAGAATAACAATTTGGTAGATAGAACTGAGAGCGTGGTATTTGTTTCTCTGTGTCTGAAAGAATTCGTAACGGAGAAGAAAACGGAGTGTGTGGTTTCAAGATATGTCAGCCGTGACTTTGGCTGCAGGCAGCTTCCCTGTTTTCCCCTGGTCTGAGCAAAATGTCCCCGGTTACTGTTTTTCCTACATTCTGGTTAAGGGGAATTGAGGAATCCTCATACAGGGAAGGAATATGCTGGTTATAGTGCTAGTATTTTGGCCAGAGACCACGTTATGACATTATCACTGTTGATGTTACATGGTTAGTTTTACTCTGATAATCATAGTAATTAAAATTTCAGAGGTGCCTGGGTGGCTCAGTCAGTTGAGTGCCTGACTCTTGATTTCAGCTCAGGTCTTGATCTCGTGGTTTGTGAGATCAAGCCTTCCGTCGAGCTCCGTGCTAACAGTGTGGAACCTGCTTGGGATTCTCTCTTTCCTATCTCTCTGCCCCTCTCCCCACTTTTTCTCTCTCTCAAAATAAACATTAAAAACACGTTTAAAATTTCAGTACTGGGTTTTATAGACACATCCTTTCCTCTCTCTCATTAACTGCCATGGATAGCTTCAAGTTTGATATTCCCTTACTCTGCTGTTAGCACTTACAGGGTATTATAACTGTCGGTTAAAGTCTAGTTGGGAGGGGAGGTGCCTCAGTGGCCAGTCGGTTGTGTCCGACTCTTAATTTCAGCTCAGGTCACGGTCCCAGGCTTGTAGGATTGAGCCCTGCATCTGGTTCTGTGCTGAGTGTGAACCCACTTGGGATTCTCTTTCTCTCTGCCCCATTCCCTACAAGTGATCGCTTTTAGAGCAGCAGCTGTGTTCAGTGTTTTTCTCCCAGAGCCTGCCTGTCTCTGGCAGCAATTAAGCACTTACCCTTTGTTGAGTGTTGAACGAACGAATACCTGAATATTTTCTGAGAAAGCTACTAATACCTGTCCACTCGCGGCTAACGTTACTGCAGTTTGTGTCCCCTCTCCCCCAGATCCATTACTGTCAGATCACAGCGGGTGGGATGCGTAAGTTCTCTTTTCTCAGACCACTGGGCATGGATTGCTGATTTGGGCATTTTTAGTTTACAGAGCGCGCCCTGTGCATGTCTGTGGCATCGTATGTTTTTTAAAAAATTTGAAGTGTCTGGTTCTTCCAGACGGATGCTAGAGGTGTCTGTGTGCAGGTAAATCTGTTTTTCCTCTGTCCCTCCCACGTGCTGCTGGGGGTCATCCCTCTTCTTCACTGGTGACATGGGTCACCTGTCACCTGTCTGGAGTGGAGAGCAGCAGTGCCTGTTTGCTGGAGACTGGAGCTACTGTCCGTGGGTGCGAGCGGGACGGTGTTAGTATGGTTTGTTTTAGCGTCCGCTCCCGTCAGACCTGCAGACGGAGGCTGGGGAGCTGTGTGTAGGGGAGGGCGGAAGCGGGGCAGGTGGTGGGTGTGGTGGACCCGGAGCGAGGTCTGCTGTGACCCTCTCAGGCCTCTGGCAGGGAACACGTGCAGCCGCCGTGAGCCTTGTCCACAACGCCTTCTTGTTAGTCATGTTTTCTTGTTATTTTTCTTTTTATCTGTAAAGATTTTTATATCAGGCAGTCAATTTACAAGATTCTTGTAAGACTTTACGTGTGGCCTGGCTTGTTGACCATGGTGAATGTAAAGTGAAGCCACAATAATTAAGACTCAAGAAAAATCCATTACCTGCAGTGAAAAAGATCCCTTTGAAAGCTGACGTGGTCATCGAAGTGGATGCTAAAACCTGTTCACAGTCTGTGACCATAAAGCTATTTTGTTCAGTCACTATTTCCAAAGCACTGCAGCTCTATGTTTTGTCTGTTTATAGTACGCAGTCACTGGTCAGTAACTTCTTAGCCACCAGAGAGAGCACCACCTCTACATGTGCGTGCAGGCCCTGCACAGGCGGCACGGGGAAGGCAGATCTCGCCTGGCACCGTCCCGCGTGCCGCCGGGGCCCACGGGGCCGTGTGTGTCCGGCTGCTGGCTGCCAGGGAGGACAGAACCGGGCCGCCAGGGTGGCGCCGCCGGGCACTGTGTGCTGGGGCCATGTCCCCCGAGTCCTGGGCCCGCCCCCTTCTCCCTCTTCTGCTTTCTCCCATCATCCCAAATTCTGTCTTAACTGGGGGTCTCTCTCTTTCTTGATGTCCATTTCTTCATCCTTAAGGATTTATTATGCTATTAACCAGGCAGGGATACAAAAAGAGAACCGTTACCATGGACAGGTATTTTCCCGTAGCCCGTTTTCCACAAGTGATCCACACGCTGCTCGGCCCACCATCCACCATGCGCCCTTCCAGCCCGTGTGCAGCGTGGGGTCTGGCTCCTGGCCCCCCTCTTCTGTCGCACGTAGCGGGGCTTGGGCCGTCTCGCGCATGGTTTTCTTCCTTTGTGAGCGCTAATAAAATAGTCTCAATATTTGTAATTCAGGTTCCATGCTCTTCCTTTTCTGGCTGTGGCTCATGCGTTCGGCTTATTTGGAAACCTGCTTTTTAGCTCTCAGGTCATTTTGATGTAATGTAAATAGACCATCTTGATTTCTGAACTTTGGAGATATGTATTAATGGAATCTTCTGTATCCATAGGGTGTGGAGTTCTTTGACGAAAAGCTGAATTCTTTATGTATGGCCTGGCTGGTGGACCATGGTGAGTAAGCTCAACACAGATTATTTTGGAAGGCCCGTGTGTTTCTGTACATCCGTTTTTCATAGATTGCCTTTTTAGAAAGGAATCCTAATCTGACCAGACATTTAACATTACCTCTGTAGGGACGAAGAAAGGCTTCGATTAGAAGCTCCCCTTGAGCATGAGCTTGATGTTTTTATTTTGTGTCAGTTTCTTTTGCCTTAAATTTTATTTTCTTCATTAAGCAATCTCTGCCCTGTTTCCTAGCCATTCTCTTACGTTGTTTTCAAATGACCTTTTTTTAAACATAGACTCCTTCCTTTGTCCCCAGGGCTCCTACTCACACACGGCATGTTGTGTTCGGCTCCTGCAGACTGAGTGGGATAGGGATTGGCATCTGAGGAAAGGCCCAGGGGGAGCAAGTGGCTGCCTGTCTTCTTTGAGGTGACAGAGGGAAGGAGGAACTCCGTGGCGCAGGAAGGGGGTCTCAGAGTGGAAGCCGTCAGCTGCGCCTGAGGAGGGGGCGCCCGGGTGTCTGGTTGTGGGGGAAGGCAGGCTGACTGTGCCCTGGCGGCTGCTGGCTCGAGCTCAGGCGGCTCAGAGGGAACACCTGTTTGAGAGAGTAGGTTTTGAAATAACTTCTCTTCTCTTTGTATTTATGACCTTGTTCAGCATCACAGAATCCTTTTCTCCCAGTGCCACACACTCCCTGAAAGCTGGTGTTGCTGCTTACCGAGATATCAAGGCAGTGGTTGTTTTCTGTAAAACCACCTTACGTGCTGACTCTTTGCCAAGGCCTCGGGTCCACGTATCCCCTCTGGTCTGCCAGGCAGCGGGGCGGGGGGCGGAGAGGGGAAGGCACCCTCTTTCCCCGTGAGATTCTCCGCCAGGCCCCGTGTCCAGGCCCGGCAGCGTCAGTGTGGCCTGCTGCCTGTTCACAGGAGGGCCCCGGGGCTTGGATAAGGTCCTGCGTGAGCTGCGCTTCCACAGTCGGGTGGACGTGACCCGCGTTCTGTGTCACTACCACAGCATCTCACACGGCCTGCACGCACGGAGCGAGGCTCTGCTCTGCTCATCGGCCGCGCCTCTGCCTGGACGGGAGGAGGGGGGGTGCTTGTGGCCACTCGTACGTGGAAGCGGTTTCACTACGGGCATATTTTGATCTTGTGGGAGATTATATGGTTAAGAGAGAAGAGGACGGTGTGAAGGAAATGTGCGAATCTTGTGAAAGCGTATATATGCAAGTAATTTCAGTGTTTTCAACCTAGATGTGAAGACTTCTTTCTTGTCTTGTCCTCTAAGGTTACCTTTGGCCATTTTTTTTTCCTTTTTAAATGAAACTTAAGTTTGGTAAATCATAGGAAAGAAATTTCTCTCCTTTTTGAAAGAAGATGTTTATTTCTGATCCATGTTTAATGTTAGTGGAAGGACACATCCCAGCGGGTCATTCTGTACTTTTTTTTTGAAAGCTTGCATTCTAGATAAATTCTGAACAACTTTTGTTTGTTTTAAGTTTTTAAATGTTTGTTTACTTTTGAGAGAGAGCGAGAGAGCGAGAACGAGCACCAGCATAAGGGCAGACAGAGAGGGAGACATAGGAACTGAAGCAGGCTCCAGGCTCTAAGCTCCGAGCTGTCAGCAGAGTCTGACACGGGGCTCGAACCCATGAACTGTGAGATCATGACCTGAGCCGAGGACGCTTAACCGACTGAGCCCCCCGGGTGCCCCGATTCTGAGGAACTTTAAAGTCCTGATGTTCCATAGAGAATTGAATTCGTGCCATCTCTTCCATGTAAGATGGTACTGTGTGTGCAAGTCTCTTACTCCTTCTTGGCTGCTCAGATTTTTCTCCTCCCGGTTTGGGAGTAAGAGAGACCCTGTTCCTTTCTCCTGCCCTGGCGGCAGGCGTGCTGGACTTGGCGTCGCAAGCGCTCTCTGGATCAGTGACCCGTCAGCTCGTAGTGGTTCTGTATGCAGTTCATCACAGGGGGTTTTGTTGTTAGCGTTTGTCCTGCGTCTTAGACTCACTGCTGTGTAGTGATCACTGACCAGTCAGATTTTTGAAGTTGTTTTCCTGCTTGCTAAACTACTACAAGAATATTGTGAAAAATCCAGAGTCCTACAAGGAAGAAAGGGGTCACCACTTTTCCTGAGGTTGAGTGGACAGTATGGATGAGAAGGAGGGATTTAGAAGGGGAATGGATTTCGTACAGGAGAGGGGGGAAAGCATCAGAGTGAGCACGCGGAGGGTGGTAGGCATTCAGAGGGACCATGCACGTCCGTCAGACCTTGAGGGGAGAGGGAGAGCCGGCCGGCAGAACTCTGGAATGGCTTGCACTCTTGTGGCGCCAGGCTGAGAGGAGCCAGGGCCGTAGCGGGCATCCGGCCAGGTCCAGGGGAGTGCAGCTGAGGTCTGGGCCCGGGCTGAGCCCGTGTGCCACCTCTGCTTACTCTGGCTGCGAGGTCCCTTTGCGTGATGATGGAAAAGATCTCCCGCAAAGTAAACAACAGAATTAGATAGGAGGACACAGATGCTCTGGGTGGTTCCGCGTAGGGGGAGCAGCGGGGAGGAGGTTGTGCCAAACACGAAGCCTCTGAATGTGGAGGGAGACCATTCGGGTCTCAGGGTGCGGGCAGAAGAGTTGGCTTGAGGGCGCTCCGTGAGCGCTCTGGCTGTCACTGCCAGGTTGTTCCTCCTGTAGACTGTGGTCAGGTTTCGTGCTGGTAATAAATTCTGTACTTTCTTGGCTGTGCGGTCCTTCCTGGTGGCCACAGTGGCACTGCCTCAGGATCTGCGGACTCGGAAGAGTTGGGTGTTTGCTGGCCGGAGGCCTTATGTGAATCTGCCAGGACAGGGGCTGCGGCTTGGCTGGCTGGCCTTGCCTATCCCATGACCCAGGAGGGCTGGGCCTACCTAGAGACAGAAGTAGAGTAAGGAGTCCGTGCTCCCTGCCCTGGACTTGTTACCTGAGCCCCGGGTTGGGGTCCTTCAGGCCCTGGGAAGTGAAGTAGCACCAGGCCTGACGCCGTCCAGTGCTGTGCACAGTAGCAAGTTGTTGAGGAGGTAGTAGCTCGGGCTTTGGGCGTCTGGATTTACGACGTCCTTGAGAAGTGATCTTACGGTGATGTCTTAGACGTTAAAGCAGGCACAGTTATCCACAGAAGACGTTTGACATGTCTCAACATCAGCATTTTAAGGGAAGAGACAGGTTGCCAGAGGTTTCCATTTGGTGTCATGCAGGTGGCCACCGTGGCCTATACGCGACCTCCTTGCTGGCCTCGTCTCCCCAGCTGTTCTTGCTGTTGCTGGAATAGTCTTGCTTCAATACCACATTGGTCATCAGGTCACAACTTTGCCTTGAGAACTCAGTGGTTTTCTTACAAGATCTCAGTTGAGCTCTCCAGGTACTCTGTGTTCTGGGTCCACCTTGACTCTGACCTTGCAGGCTTGCTTAGGGCACTTAGCTGCCTCCGTACCCTGGATCCGTTGGTGCCTTCCAGGAATTCCTCCCTCCTCTCCTCCTGACACAAATCCTCTTCAGTCTTCGAGGTCCAGGGCAAGGCCTCTCTTTCCTGAAGCTTCCCAAATCTCCCGTTTCTTTCTTCTCTCAACTCTTGTACAGCCCTCAGGACCTTTGCTACACAACTGCATTCTTCGTCATCGTCAGTGTGCCACCACGAGACTTCTTGGCCCGTGTTAGCTTTCACATCTCTGATGGAGCGTGTGATCTTTGAGGGGAGGGAGCCTCTGTGTTCTTTCCGGATCACCTGGCACATAGGAGGCACTATAATGAGCACCTGCGTCCTCTGCTTGGACATACTACACGTTGTTAAACGATGCTGAGACGGAGTCCGTATGTCACAGTCACGTCTGAGCATGTTTGCCAGTGTAGAATGACTAAGTGGGGAGTGTGGGGAGTTTGATTTCTGGTCCCTTTTGCTGACGGTGTGAGCGAACGGGGCTGTGCTCCTGCCATAAGCTTCGTGACCGTGTGCTCTGCACCTCTTCCGCCAGTGTATGCCATCCGCGAAGCCGCCACCAACAACCTCATGAAGCTCGTTCAGAAGTTTGGAACCGAGTGGGCCCAGAGCACCATCGTTCCCAGAGTGCTGGTCATGGCGAATGATCCCAATTACTTGCACAGAATGACCACTTTATTCTGCATTAACGTGAGTCTTCCACAGGATTATTGCTCAGCCCAGGCGGTAAAGCAGGTATCTGGGGCTGTCTTTCTGAATTCCAAATCATCTGTTTCTTAGGCCACTTAATTTGGATGGTTGATGAGAGAAAATGTCCATTTTCAAATTCTTGGTAAAATGTGCGGGAGCCTGGTCAGCCGGGAATTCCGGGTTAGTTCTGAGTCGTCGAATGCTTATTTGGATCCCGCATTCGGAGGCTCAAACTAGCAACCTTTTCCTGCTGGTCAATGACTTTCTTAGTAAATACTAATTTGTCATCTCATATTTGGGGAGATTTAAAAACATGAGGAAGTATTTTAACTGCACTGTCTTAATTCTTTTTCTAGGCGCTGTCAGAAGCCTGCGGTCAGGAAATCACCACGAAGCACATGCTGCCCGTTGTGCTGAAAATGGCAGGGGACCAAGTGGCGAATGTCCGTTTCAATGTAGCCAAATCTCTTCAGAAAATTGGACCCATTCTGGATACTGAGTAAGACTTGAGTATTACTCTGGCTTAAAATAGAGTTAAAGATTTACCCTGTAGTGGCGAGTTAGAGCAAAAATTAGGTTCACTGATTTTCACTTGACCCGAGATAGGGGTTTGGGTAAAGATAATAATAATTGAAAAACCGTGGCTGAGGTGTTCACTCTGACTTTTACGTTGAAGCTCTGTATAGGTGCCCATCACTGTCTGAAGCTATTGGGGATTTTAGAAATTAGTACCTAGGACCTAGTACCTAGAAATTACCTAAAAAATTAATTTTTAAAAAATTTTAAACTTGACAAATTGTCATAGAACATGTATATCCGAGAGCATTTATCTGGCTCGGAGGACGGCCTTTCACAGACAATCCTGTTGGATTTCAGTGCTTTGCGGGAGGAAGTGAAGCCAGTACTACAGAAGTTAGGCCAGGATGAAGACATGGACGTCAAGTACTTCGCACAGGAAGCCATAAGTGGTGGGTCTTGCTGTTTCCTGTCCTGCAGCTCGGGCTTCGGCGTTGGGGGCGGCGTGAGTGAGGCAGGGGGGTCGTGTATATGGGAGTGGCCCTCTGTGGGTGGGACCTTCTTGGCCCCCGCTGAGCGAGCCCTTCTCTTAGTCCCAGGGGTCTGGCTGGGTAGGACTAGGATTCTCACTGGTAAGAACAGTTTGTCTTTCGGATTTTAATCAGTTTTTAAAGTTGAACTTGGTGAGCCTGGCAGAGTAAAGAAACTGGCCATGGGGAGAAATTCACCGTCTCATGCTTTTGGGTCGTTGTTGTCGTAGTGAATATTCACATAGGTACTTCATGAACTTTCTGTGCCACTAACTTGATTTTGTTTGGAATTTTCCAGTGCTTGCATTGGCATAATGAGGAACAGGAGGGACAAGACTTTACTAAATCCTTACCACAGATTTCTAGTCAATGTGCTCTTATGCTGGGTGGAGAGAGCGTGGAAAACCTTCAAGACCTCATCCAAGCAAATGGCAGCAACTTACAAGAGATCGAATTTCAGTGACTTGATCCTTTCTGAAGATGAAATGGGATTGTTTTTCACTTGTCTTCAGTTTTGGGATAATTTATTTAATTCTTGTTTGTGACCAGTCCCTGACACTTGGTCAGTCATATGTTGATTGTCTCCTAATGATTATCCAGCACCATCGGGGCTCACGCCTCCTCGCTGTTTATGTTTAGTCAGGCGCTGGCCTCTTACCGTCTCCCACCAAGCCTGGATGGGTTTGGACCCAGACAGGGAGTGGAGCGGTGTTCTTGGTGTTTACATGTTATCTGTCTGTGTGTGTCTCTCCACGATTCCACATTAGATACACATGATGTGGGATAACTTATTGTATGAACACTCTCTTTGGGAGCTGCGCCGAGAGGTCGTGTAGTGGGTGCCACATTTTCCTGGCCACTGGCGATCGGCATTAGTGGCTCATGTGAATCGGGAGTATGGCAGCTCGGGGTTCACGTGTTGGTTGTTTTTGGTTTTATGTGCTTGCTTTTGGCTGTAATCATGTCCTTTGGAAACCTGAAATACAGGTGTGTCTTGCTGCTGACGTGCGGTGTTGGGACCTCACTGAATTTCAGTGGCTCAGCACCGGGACTGCCTTCAGACATCGCCTCCTCCCTCCTTCCCTCCCCCCACCTCCTCTCCTGGTCTCCCCACCAGGAGACTTAAAACTTAGTGCCTCCTAATAAGCAGTCGTTGTACTGCTTCATTTTAAGATTGCTGTTTTATGTGTCTGCTGAGCAGGGCAACCACTGGTGGGCTTCTGGAAGGGTTTCCTGCCCCCTGCCTGGCTCCGCCTCCAGCTGCTGACATCTGGCCCTTGCTGCCTCGTGCCGCTGGGGCTCCAGACCGAAGCTTCCTTACTGGCGTCTTGGTGCGGGCTATGCTGGAGACTTAGCGTTTGCAATGTTTGTTTTTCTGCTTTATGGTAAAACCTCATTAATTTCTCCTGGAATTTAAGATGATGAGCTAAGCCAAAGGATTTGCTGGCGGAAATTAATAGTCTATAAGGAAGCCCGTTGTATCTGAACTACTTGAATCATTTTAAAAAGCACCCTTTAGCAGTTGATATGCCAATTACTGGTCACTCTTTTTAGTTTTACTAAAATACCTTCCATGGGGATTGTTAGAAGCTACCCCTTTCTTTTAGATGTATTCGTTTTACTCTTGATCCCTGAAATATTTTAAGTATGTTTTTCACGGAGAATATAACTACTTTTTCTTTTGGATTTATGTATATTTTTCATCTACTCACACTCGCATTGTTCCGATGAATTTTAGTTAATTAATGAAGCTTCACTGTAGCTTGTGTTTTGCTTCTTGGACGTTGCTGTGTGGTTTGCTTGTTTCCATTTTGGTTGTTGAATTGTTTTCTTTCACTCACAAGCTCTTGTAAACCCAGCGAGCCCTGTTCTGCTCTGTGAGGGCGAAGACTCACTGTAAAGCTCTGCACGCGAGACCGTTACGTTGGACCAAATGCTTCCGGGTTTGTCATATCCTAGAGACACAGAACCTGACTCAGACGTTACTGCCTGCGTTCGCAACTGCCAGCCTACCTTCTGGGACGTTTCTATTTTGTTACCTTTTGGGCAAGGATCAGATCTATTCCTGGGCAAAAAAATGTTCCTGCATGCTCATTTTAACGTCTTAATGTTGATGCTGTAAACATTTAATTTTAGTTTCATAGTTTTTTGTTTGTTATTCTCTCCGGGCTGTGTTCCGCTTCGGTGAGTTGCATATTTGAGAGGCTGTTTCATGCTTAAAACAGACTCCACAGCTATTGCTTCGCGCTTTGGTTGGGAATGCCGTTGGTTTGGGGACAGACTTTTAAATGCCTTTTAGATGTGGTGTGTACTCTTAGGGGCCCTGAACTTTGGCCTCTCCCTCCAAGACTGGTCTAAAGGAGACAGGAGCCCTTGCTTTCTCAAGCATGGGTCTGGGAGCTAGGCAGGGCTCTGTCATTTTGGGTGACCCTTAGGGACTTGATTGACTTTCTGATTTAAGCAATAGAGAATCCCTTCTGTTACTCAGGGAAGCTGTTCTCTGGCTCATAACTGGTCATAATGTCCGTTGATTACTTTTCCTGTCTTGATTTCATTAGAATGTCAGCTCCAGAAGCTCTGGAAGGGCAGAGAATTTTGTCTGTTTTTTTGTCTTCTGCTGTATCACCGGCACCTAGGTCAGTGTCTGGCGTACATAGTAGGTGCTCAATAAAAACATGTTCACTGAATTTCTAAAATCTGTCCTCTGATGTGTTGTGTGTGAGGAACGTGTCCTCGAAGGTACCAGACAGACTGCGTCTCATTCCCGCGCTGGCACGGGAAGGATCGTACAACTCTTACACAGGGTTGGGCCACCTTCCCCAGGCCCCTGCTTCACCAGCGGCCCCGCTGGGGTTTGCACGATTGCCCCAAGTGTCCTTCATCCTACACCGTTCGCGTCTGTTCCGTTAATGATGAAAGTGGAGCAGAGACAGAGTGGAGCAGAGGCTAATGCCAGCCAAACTGCCCCCTCCACCCTGGGACGCGCCCGCACGTCTCTCCCCACGTCTGTGCGCCTCCCCACGCAGGTTCAAGGGACCAGATCCCGTCCGTCCGTGCTGCCGCGAGGACAGCAGCCTGAAGCCGTGTCCCGTTTCGGAAGGACAGACCGTGCCGTGTGTGGTTTCGACAAGGGCTTGTTGCAGTCACGGCCCTCGGCTCGTGGAGGTGCCGTGGCTCGGCCCTGGGCTGTGAGGCGCTGGGGGTCTTGGCCGGACAGCTTGTCCCGATCAACACAGACGGCAACACGATCGGGCCCCAGGACACTCGCACAGACCTTCGGGGGAGTTGGATATGTCATTCCTGACGCAGAGGGGAGCAAGAGCGGTGCGCCTCGGTGCGGTGTCACCCGTCACCGCCGGGCCGCGGGGTGGAAAGTCGGTGCTTTCCTGGCACTCGCGTGCTGGTGGCCCCACAGGGATGGGGTGGGGGTGGGGGGGGGCGCAGGGCCGCCAAACTCGCTGGGCGCGGGGCCCTTCTCACCTTCGGCTGAGAGTCGTGTGATGCTCTGCTCTTGAAGCTCCTCCACCGCCTCTGCCTAGAGACCAGAGCGCGGGAGCCGTGTTCTCAGTTTAAGGATGAGTGGGCGTGGTGCGCGTAGGGGACCGTCGCCCTGGGACTCGCGGAGCCTCCGCCGCCTAGGGCCTCGCCCCTCTCTCTGTCGCTCGTGCGTCTCCAGGACTTTTGGTGCCTATGGTGGTTCCACCATTGCCTGCTCGCCTCCGAGAGCCTCCTGTGTCCAGGAAATTACATAATGTTCAGTTGGGATGGGAATCTTCTGGAGAATGAAGTTTAATTACTCACTGGGTAGCAAAGCCAAGTCCTTTCTCCACTTCTCTGAAACTGATGTTACCAGTTCTGAGAGGAGCCAGGTCTTTGCCATGCGGCCGGGGCTCTGCAGGCGGTGACCAAGATGGGGCGGGGACACCCTAAGGCCCAGTGTGGTGGCGCTCTGCGTGGCCCTTGAGGGACGGGTACTGTCTGTAAGGTTCTGGGGTGCTTCCTGTGCCTGGGGCCCCATATGCTCTCGCGCGCCAGGGTCCCCCCGCCCCCGCCCGCTGCAGTGCTGGGGCGGGGGGTGGGGGGGGCGTCCTGGCTGGGAGGTGCAGGCGGCCAGGGCCCAGGGCCGCTTACAGGACTGCCGTCTGTGTCCCTAGCAGTGGCGCAGAGGCTGAGGAAGCCGGGTTTCCCTGCGAAGGACGGCGAGGAGCCCGGCGCTCCTGGGGCTGACAAGATCCACTTGCCGAGAGCCCGAGAGGACCCGGGGAAGGTACGTGCGCGGCGCCCGGGCTGCAGGTGCGCGGGCGGGTGGCCCCGGCCTGGTGCTGAGGCAGGCGACGCAGAGCTGCCTTGGATCCTCTCCCCACGAGCCAGAGGGGTCAGCCGACGGCAGTGTGTTGGTGAAGCCTGTCGCCCTCCTCCGCGTCCTGCGTTCGGAGGGCCGGGGTGGGCTTCCGGAGCTGTGGCTCCTGCGGCCGGGGGGCTCCGGGCTGTCCTCCCCGGCAGAGGCAGCGAGGCTCGCGCAGGCCGGCTGGTTGGCGGGGTCGCCCTGGAGATGGGGTGCTTCCGCTCACCTCCGAGACTGCGGACCGTCCGCACTTGCTGTGGCTTCTCTCTGGCAGTTGTCTCCATTCAGGGACAGCACAGGTTCTGTCCCTTTTACTGTGTAGGGGCCCCAGGCCGCACTTGATGCCCGTCTGGGGAGGGTGTGCGGAGGTTTTCCACTGGAAAGTAAGCGCTCATTCATTGGAGCTGGTGGCGGCCACAGCCCTGGGGCTGCTTGTTAGGAGGGTGTTGTTTGGCTTACAGATCCAGTTGACCTTGAACTTCAACACAGCGGTCAGGGCACTGACCTGACCCCCCTTCCCCACGCAGTTGAAAACGCACATAAAACTTGGCCCCCCCCCCCCCCAACGTAACTACAGAGAGACTCCTGGTGACCGAAGCCTTACGGACACCAGCAGGCGAGGAGCACGTATTTTGTACGTTGTGTCTGTTAATTCTTACAACCGGGGCAGCTGGAGGGAACGTGTGTCAGAATGCCGAGGACGGGGCTACGCTCGCCGGGTTGAGGGGAGACCCTGCGTGAGTGGCCCGCGCGGCGCACACCCCGCGCTTTGGGGAGGAGGCCTCGCCCGCCTGGGGCTGCGTGGCCTGGGTTTGGCAGAGACATCGGCGTCTCGGGCCTGTGGTGCTGGGCTCGCCCAGGGGACATTGTGACGCCGAAAGCCCGTCTTCTAAGTCTCCCTGGCTTTGCCCTTGTTCCGAGTCGACTGAGGCCATGAGAACTTTCTCCTGTTGTTCAGGCCCCCAACTGTGGTCCTTTGCCCTGGAATGTTCTCTCCTTCCTGTGGGCCTGCGCTGTTATCCCGGGGCCAGAGCTGCCGGGCGTGCCTGTTCGGGTGGTCTCCCCCGCCTCCCCCCCCCAGCTGTCCCTGTGGCGGCGGCACCGCGGGTCGTGCTGGGTGACCGCGCCTCCCGTGGCAGACCCGCTCAGCCCCGTGCTGGCCGCGCGCTGCCGTCCCTGGAGCTCCGGGCCCTGCCCGCCGTGCGGACGCTGCCTCGGTCTTCACGGCCCCGGACGGGAGGTGCCGTTCGCTCCATTTTTCAGGTTCCTCCCCCCAGTCCTGATCCTGTCTCCGTGGGGGTCTCCCGGCAGCGGAGGCCGCTGAGGCTGCAGATCATGTAACCCAGAAAAATCCCCCGCCGCCCCTGCCTTAGACTCTCTGAAGGAAAATGACCTGAGGGTGAGATGGAAGGAACTGAGCGTTGCCAGGCAGAGCCCTGCGTGTCAGGGGCCGGCGGCCAAGTGAGTGATCCAGGAAGTCATCCAGTGCGAGCCAGAAACCGTTCTTAACCCTTCCCTCGCCGTCCGTGCCGCCCCTGCCTCCTGGGCCAGCGGACGGGAGCCCGAGGCCAGAGCCGGTTCCTTTGGCCGCAGGGTGCCCGCTCGGCCCCGCGTCTGCTGGGCCGCGTCTGCCCCGGACGTCACACATGTCCCCCACGCGGGACCTGCCCGGGAGCCGCGTGGCTGCCTCGAGCTCCCCGCCGGCCCCTGGCGCCTCAGCCGCCTGGTGGCGGTGGTGGTGGATGGGCTGTCCCCGTCCCGTCAGGCGGGGCCGCCCTTCTGGCCGCTCTGCCTTTGCCCTGCGGTGACAGGGATGCCCTCCGTCAGGCAAGGGTTAACAGAGGATTTGTTTATTGAATCACAGAGTAACTGTCACATGATTTTAATCAAAACACCATTTCCCTGACAACAGTGATGTCAGTCGTGTTATTGCAGGAAGGAGCAGCTGTGAGGGACACTCGGCCTCCACGCAGCCCGGTCTGGAGACTCCAGCCCGGGGAGGCGTCCGTAAATAGTGGTTGCAGGCGCTGACGGGCCAAAGCCGCCTCTCCCTCTGCTCCCCTGCGTCCAGCACCCCTTTCCCCTTCCGCCCTGCTTGCCTCTTGTGGTTTTCCCGGCTTTCCTGATTCTCTCTGGGCCCCGAGGACTTCTGGCCTCTGGCATGTGTCTGTCCTTCGTGCTCGAACCGGGTAGCTCCCGCCAGCCCGAGGTGGGGCCGCTGGGCAGCCCGGCCGCTGGGCTCCTGGGGCTGGCCTGGTGCCTGTCCCCGGCCCCCCCCCCCCGCCCCCGCCGGGCCATCTCAGGGGCTCGGCTCTGGGTGCCTGGATAGAAGAGGCCCCGAGAGGCTACCGGAGGCCTGAGTGAGGAGGACGCAGCCAGAGGCGGGGTGGAGCAGTGCCCTCAGGCTCTGGCCCCCACCCGCCACCATCCCCACCGCGGGAGCCTGGGGACCTCTGCCCCTCTGCCCAGGGGTGGGCCTGAAAGTCGCCGGTGGATGACAGAAGCCCCCTCCTGGGTGGGATGTGGATTCCTGCGGATGCTGTTCCGGTTGCGGCACCTGCGGCTGGTGCTGCCCAGAACTCCTGAGAATGGAAGAATCCAGGCAAGAGTTCTCGGCTCACCACCTGGAGTAGGTGCTCAGAACAGGGCAGCCATCTCCCAGGTGTCCCATGGCCATGTCGGAGCCTGGTTTTGGGGGGGTCAGCAGTTCGGCGAGAGCGGGGCGGGTAGAGGACGAGCCGTCGAGGGGCTTTCTGCTTGGAGGGCAGGGCGAGGCCAGGCTGCCCTGGACCCTCACAGTAAAGCTAGGAGTTGAATCAGCTGGCGTGTGTTCCCCGTTAGCGCTGGGCACAACGAGCCTCTGCTGTGCTGCGCTCAGGGCCCCGGTGGGGCTGGGAGTGGTGCCTCCCACGCCGTCCTGGCACCGGCCGCTGTCCCTGGGGGGCGCCGCGCTGTCTGCAGGGCCCTCTTGGCGGGCAGTGGGGGCTCCAGCGGGCGGCCGGGGGCAAGCGAGGCCCTCTTGTCCGGGCCGGGCCCTTCGCTCCCCGGGCCTGTCTGCTGGCACAGCGACCCTGCCCACCATTTGGGCTTCTCTGGGGACTGCGGGGCAGCTCCTGTGGGTCTCAGGCTGAGGCGGCGGCCGAGGCTTCTACGAAGGGCCTTGGGGGCTTTTCCGTCCGCTCAGCAGGGTCGCGTGCCCAGCTGCACCGCGGCCCTGGCACAGCGACGGGCTCAGGCCTGAGCGGCAGCGCCGGCCGCCCAGCCCCCTTCGCGCGTCTCAGGCCCCTTTCTTTCCTCCTCCTCTTCGAGGAGCGAGGAGGAGAGACGGAGTCAGCAGCTCTGCAAGCCTCCCCCACGGGGAGGGTGACTGTGTCTCTGTGAAGGAGCAGGGCCGTGAGGCCTTCCGGCCTGGGCAGGGCCCGGCCCCGCGCCGACGGCGTGCGGGTGCGGTGAGGGGTGCCGGCGCGGGAGGCGCAGGCCGTGTGGGCGAGTCCTGCCCCCGCTGGGCCCGGCAGAGACGGGGGTCTGGGGCTCCGCCCTCCTCCACCTGGGCCAGGACTTTGGCTCACAAAGGCCACAGAGGGAACGCCTGGAGGACGTGTCAGTCAGGGGCCTGGCTGCCTGGTGTCGGCCACTCTGCTGGCAGGTCTGTCACGTTGGCCTGTACTCCGAGGTGGTTTTTGGCAAAATTCGGTGGGAAAAGGGATAAGTTTGCAAAACACCATTGCTGAAATTGTTTTCCTTAAAAAAAGAAAAAAGGCAATTGAAACTCAGGGTCACTCAGTTCCTGGGTTGCCCAACAGGGGTAACAGCCTTCCAGGGGCAGGACTGAGCCCACAGCGCAGGGGGCGGGGCCACCCCTGCACCCCCACAGCCGGGGCGGTCCCCTGGGGGAGTTCGGGGCCGCAGCCTGGGCTCAACTGCGATGGTTTGAGTGAAACCAAACCCCCGTTGAACTTGCTGCCAGAAAGCAGGCTTTCGTGCTTCCGATTCGCCCCGGGCCGGCCTGATGCGCTGCGGCACAGGGACGCGCCTGCCCCCGGGAAGGGCTAAGGGGTGTGCTCGCCAGCGGGGGGGGGGGGGGGGGGGGGGGGGGGGGGGGGGGGGGGGGGGGGGGGGGGGGGGGGGGGGGGGGCGAGGGACCCGCTGCTGTGAATACGCTGCAGGGCCTTGCTGCCCCCTCCCCGGCGGGCCACCCCTTGCTCTGGGGCTTGAACCTGCGGAGCCGGATGCGCCTGCCACCTCTGGCGGCCTCTGGCGCGTGGGCTCCGGGAGCAGCAGGTAGTGCGGGCCGCGTCAGCCTGTCCCCGGCAGGGCAGCGTCCGGCAGTGGCGGCCACGGACTTGGCGGCCACAAGCAAGGTATTATTTACCCTGCTGACGTCAGTGAGAACATATTATCCGCTGTCCCTTCCTGGAGCCTGAAATGGGCACCAGAGCTCAGGGAACGCAGCCACCTTCCATACTTTAAATAAATTCTGCCCAAGGCCCGATGAGATAAAGGCCCCATCTCCTCCGCCTGACATTCAGATCACCCAGGCTCTTAGAAAACCAGTTGTTTTTATTTTAATTCAATTTTATGTTGGAAACATAAAAACAGTACATTTTCTTTGCAGAAAATTACCCCCTTTAAATTACTATTTGATAACAAAGATCATTTATTAAACTGCATTTTCGGCAATTTTCTAACATTGAAGGTTACATTTTGATTTTTTTTCACATTGGAGCTATTATGATTTGCACTCAAAATACCAAAACTATTGAACTCACCATTTTTCTTAGTAATTGAAAATAACACAGAAAAAATAACTACAGTTTGATTTTTATCAAAAGTAACTTTCACAAACCAAAGACCACCCTCTTCCTTCCAGAAATAAGCAAATAATCTTGCCCTTTCCACAAAGTGCAAATATCTCAATCGCTTTTATTAAATTGCAGTCCCCACAGAGAAGCAAACCTTTTCTTGATGCTGCTTTTCCCGTCCGAGACCCCGGCCCAGGCAGATTTCTGTCACCAGCCAGGGGCCGGCTCCCACCGTCCGGGGCGGTGCGTTTGCAGGGTGCTAGTTTGGACTTCCCTGGTTACAGCTCCCCTCCACCCCCCACTCCGCCTCGGACGAGACAGAGTAGTCAAGCAGAGTAGGTTAGCCTTTTTTAACCCGTAAAAGTGTCTAATCAGCCCTTGTGTCTAATAGACCTTAACGTAAAGAAATAACGCCCCTCCTCAGGGGAGGCTTTTCAGATTCGTCCCCAAGGGCCTCCGTTCCTGGGGCTGAGCCCCCAACGCAGCGCCGCCCGTCAGGGCTACTCCTCCAGGAAGGGACAGTTGTGCAACCAGGAGAGACCAACCACGCTGGCTGGCGGCCGGCTGTGGGGTCCGTGCAAGGCTCTGGGAGGCGCCCCCCAAGCCAGGCAGCTGCCAAGGGGAAAATCGGGTTGCGAGGGGCTGGAACACCCCACAGCTTGTCCCGGCCCCTCCCGATCAGTCAGGCCCCCTAAACTTTCTAGAGCCTTCGTGTCCTCAGCCGGGTGGCCAGCTAACTTGACTGACTGGTCGTGCGGAAGGGAAGAGCAGTCTGGTGAAACGTGTGTGGATTAATGTACAAACACTCTCAGGCATGCGAGCAGAGGAAGGGGTGGGGGTGTGAGCGGATGGCTGTGTGTGGCAGGGACAGGACACCAGCCTAACGGACCCCCCCCCCCCCCCCCCCCCCCCCCCCCCCCCCCGCAGGTGCTGATGACAGCGTGGGGACGGAGCCGGAGAGGGGGACAGGGGGTGGGGAGCGGCCCGTTCGCGCNCCGCACGACCACGGCACTGCGCCTGGCAGAGAGCTCGTACGTGAAAAAGGGTTTTGTCTGGTTTAGAAACAGGCAGCTGATACTGCCGTTGTCTTCCACCCCTCCCTCTGAAGACAGAAGTCTGTAAAAATTTCCAGAAGCAACACAGTGATCAAAGATCCCTGCCTCTATAATGACTCCAACTTACTACCTGTTCTCCAGTTTTTACCTTTGATGTCTAGGCACACAGAGAGCGAGCGGCTTGGGCGGCTTCCCAGGAGGCAGTAGAGGCGGCCCGGTTTGGGGGTACAGCCGCCGCCAAGGTAAGCGCCCCCGCACGGGGCTGAGGCCACACCGGTCTCTAGAGGAGGAATGTGAGAGATCTGGAGTAGGATGTCCTTTAAACCAAAAGGGGGCCTAGGTGTTAACGGTGGACAGAAACTCTTAACCGTGAGCCGACAGTCCTGTCTGGCGCGGGGAACCCAGTACTTAAGAACCACGGGCTGGAGCTCCCCGTGCCGGAAGCCACTCATTTGATGTGGCCGGAGCCCTGAGCTGCCCGCCCTGTCCCCGCGGTTTCTGCTTGGCCCTCCAGGCACACCCTGGCCACGCACACCGCCCCCCCCCCCCCCCCCGCAGGTGCTGATGACAGCGTGGGGACGGAGCCGGAGAGGGGGACAGGGGGTGGGGAGCGGCCCGTTCGCGCCGGACTCAGGAAGCAGCCAAGCAGGGCTCCATTTCTGGGGAACAGAGGGAGTCTGCCGTTCTCTTTCCGAGGAGGGGGCAGAGTGTGATACAGGGTCTTCCTCCGTGGGCTCCAGCCAGAGAAGAGGGGAAAAGGGGCGCCGCCGGGCAGGGCAGCGCCCCAGGGACCCTAACGGGCATGTAGCCCTGCTGCTGCGGTAACACGCTGTACTTGCCTTACAGGGACCAGCGTACCAGGTGCGTGTAAATCGCAGAGACACCCCTGCGCAGCTGGAAATTGCAGGCCTGGCGCACTTCTCCCAAAGCAGACACTAATACCCCTGGATTAAAAAAGAACATAGAGAATAAAGTACCACACGTATTGCACTTTTTGCCGAATGAAAATTTTACCTCATGTCCATGTTGCCAAAGTCTCTTCAGAGAAGTCTGGTTTACAAGACAGTAAAGCTAACGATTACTATACAGTAGTGTACACACTGCTACTGTGAAACAGACCGGAAAGAAAGTCATTATTTCCAAGTAGCCTCATAAGAATAGCGGTATGAAGCCTTCTTAGTGTCATTTTAGTGTGTGTGAAAACTGCTTGGAAGTGTACAGAGGTCAGAGGTCACTAGTTAGGGGACAGATCACGTGGGGCTGCGAAAACACTCAACTGACCAACACCAGTCGCTCACCAGCATACATTTCAGTCAGGATGATCGTTCTGGAATTGATTCATTTCTGCTTGACAAAAGCAAATAGGAGCTTACGACACGGGTCCAGCAGGGCCAGGTCACGCTCTTCACCGGGGAGCGCCTTCCGGCGGCGGCGGCAGCTGCTGGGACGCCCCCGCCCCCCCCTCGCCCCCCCCGGCCTCCCGGTCGGCCACGGCTCCAAGGTTCCCCAGCCCTGCGGCCTCTGTGTCCACCTGTAAGTGCTGCCCCTGCGGACCCCAGTCTCAGGCTGGAAGGCCTTTTCTTTTCACAAATATTACAGTGCTTCTGAAAATTTTGGAAAAATATCATTTAAACAAATCAAACCCTGTTTCATAACTGGCTTATTTTGCAGAGACTGAAAACGGGTTAGAGATTGTAACGAAAGCTTAGCTTCAATGAAATCATGTTCTCTATCTCCCGAAACTGTGAATCTTAAGCACAAGGAGGAGTAAATCATCCACAGGAGGAGCAGAATTCATCCCCCCTGTATTCTCCTCAGTTGTTAAGTCACAAAAACAGTCCTGCCCAGCACCCTCTCTTGCTACCCCAGACCCTCACTCCCGCAGAGCGTCTCCGTACCCGCCCCGACGGACTACAACGAGGAAAGGCAACTTAGAGGTGTTTCTAGACGCAGCATCAGTGTAGTGTCTCTCTGCTTTGTGCTCAGCGCGGTCCACTGCGGCGAATGCAGGCCGTCTGTCCTACAGGACAAACGCCCGCCTGTCAGGAACACTGGGATTGTACCGCCGGGTGGCTACCTGTTCCTTCCAGGGATACGATGACTAGCTGGTGCATCTAGCGTTTCCTTACTCTGCTGAGTGAGGTGTAAGGGGGAAGGTTACGTGTCACTAGTCCTCGAACGTGTCTGGCAGGTGGTCTGCTGGCTGGTTCACACAGCTGTGGTTCTGAATATTGCTGTAATACTTGAACATTTCATTACTAGTTAAAACTTTTAAGGAAATTAAGGACGCGATTCCCACATGGTGGAAAACAAACTCCGAAGGGACTTTGGATTTAGCATTGACATAAATGGAAAACTGTAGGTTTCTACAGAAATGAAATAATTAAAGCATGGTCTGGGGAAAAAGGCACAGCACTACCACTTCACACGGGAGGTCAAAGTTCATTTTTCTTGTCCTTAAAATTCCTAAGCCCTATATGAAACTGTCCAAATATACAAAGCTCCATAAACTACTAGCAACATAGAGCGTAAAGTCAAAGTAGTTACATTTTAAAGGAGCCGCTAGGCCGTCTGAAGCCGGGCCGCCCCGCAGCAGTCTGCACAGGAGACTGCGGAAGAGCCCGGCCTCTCCTGGCCCGGGGCCGGCGGTCCCCAAGCTCCACTGCAGGCGGGTTGTGTGGTTCTACAGGTAACCGCGTAGGAGCTCCGGGTGGAGACGACTGCCAGTCTCAGGGCTCAGTCCCGGCTGTCACGCAGCGGCCCGGAGACAAAGCTCTGGTCCCGCTGCTTTGCAGTGGTCTTGGAGACAACCTGCATCAGCAGCTTCAAACTTAGGATTCAGTGGCCAAGCGCAGCTTTCCTTCCTCTGCATCAAATCCCACTACATACTCTTCACTTGCCTGAACTCAACAGGCTGTTGCCCGGCTTCAGTGAAAACTATATTGCATTTTGCGTTTGTTTTGTTCTGCCCATCTCTGACGGCACACAGCTGTCCCCGAGGGTTTCCCCCAATAACCAACTCGTGTGGCTCCACACAAAACCTAGCTCTGCGTGTCCTCCCACGAAAACGGCCGTCGGTGCGTCCCAGCAGCGCTGCTCCACTCGACCGAAGGGAAGGGCACGGGCTTGGGCTCCGCCGTGTTCCAGGAACCCCCGCCCCCCGCAGCAGGTGGGGGCGCCGCCAGGAGGAAGCACCGGGGGGCCCTCTCATTCCAGTTGGGCGACGGGATTTGTCTCCATTTGGGAGGGGGCAGGAAAGAAAGCTGGACACTTAGAAGGCTGGAATAAAAATAGAAATCCACATTCTTCCCGCGCCGACCGGCCTCCCATCCTGCGCCGGCGCTAATTTACCAGGACGAAGCCGCCGTGCTGTGGGTCCACGGCCTCCAGCATCTCACAATCGAAGAGTCCGGGGAACTCGGCGAGGGCCAGGGGGTCGTAGCTGGAGGCGGCCTCCTGCAGTCCTGAGCCCCCCCGGGGACAGTCCTGGGCCTCGAGGCTGCCCGGCGCGGGCCCCTCCATGGGGTACGGGCAGTGCGGGGCGTAGTCCGGCTCGGGGGACGCGGCCCCGGGCAGCTCGCAAGTCTGGTAGGGGAAGCGGAGGGGGGCGGGGGCGGCTCCCGGCGGGGGGGGCGGCGGCGGCGGGGGCAGCGCCGGGGCCCGGGGCCCGGGCGAGGAGGGCAGGGGCGGCAGCCGCAGGTCCTCGTACTGGCCCAGGAAGGGGCTGAACTGCATCCGCTCGGGGCCGGGCTCCAGGACCGGGCCGAGCGGCTGCGCCAGGCCGAAGGGCGCGGGCGGCGGCGGCGCGGCCGCCTCCTGGCGGGGCAGCGGCGGCGGGAAGGGGCCCTCGGCTATCTGCATCTGATTGAAGTAGGCCTGCAGCTGCGACTGCTTCTGCAGGAAGAGTCGCTTCTGGTGGAGTCTAAAGGGGCAACAGCAAAAGACAGAAGTTTAAGCCTTCCTCGGGGATGGCAACTTTACCGTAAACCCGGGATCGGTCATTCGCTTCCGTCCCTCCCGCTTCTCTTGTCTGCGGCAGGAGAAACCCCCGTAGGAACCCACTGTCTGGGTTCTTCTACCTCGTATTTTCTGTCCCCAGATTCTGACCCCTCAGTGCTGAAGTGCATGCTCTCTTCTTCTCTAAGACTGAGCTTTACTCCCTGTGAAGCCAGAGGCGGATTTCCCACCTGGGGTGTTTCAAATCCTGGGTGGCGGGGGTGGGGGGGGGGGGCGACCCCTGGCCTCTGGGGGCGGCTGTAGGTTGACTGATTAGGGGGACTCCTGGTCAGGAGTGAGGACACAGAGTAGCACCCAGGCCGATGGAGTATAACCCACTCAAACTGCTTTAGGTCACAGATTCTGAAAGCTTAGGTCTATTCCTAACCAGAAAGGGAAAGGAAACAGCAGGCTTCAGCCAGCTGTCCCCCCTGCCAGGATTCCGGAGGCGGGAGCAGGTGGCTCAGTGGGTTCAGCGTCAGACTTCAGCTCATGTCATGACCTCACAGTTCATGAGTTCGAGCCCCGCATCAGGCCCTGTGCTGACAGCTTGGAGCTTAGAGCCTGGAACCTGCTTCATACTCTGTGTCTCCTTCTCTTTCTGCCCCTTCCCTGTTCATGCTCTGTCTCTCTCTCTCTCTCAAAAAACAAGTAAACATTTAAAAAAAATTTAAAAAAAAAGTGATCACATCTTGAAACCTGTGTCCTACTTAGCAGAGGCAAATGCTGACAAGGGGGGGAGGGGTACAACACATGGCTGGGGGGGCAGTGGCGACACCACCCCCAGTGACCTCACTCTCTCACCTGTGTTCCTGCAGCTGCTGTTCCAGGCTCCGCGGGGCTTCTTTACAATAAAGCTGACAGGTGTTCTGGGCTTTGGACAGAAGGCTGGGCTTCTGGAAGAGCAGGAAAAGAATTAGGAGCAGGACACTGTGACGACGTCCAGGCTGCAGTGAGCACAGCGGACGTTTGCCCGGAGGACGAAGCCAGCTGTGCCCCCCAGAGTCTGCGCAGGGTAAGGGCACGAACCCTCCTTCCCTGAGGCCCCGGGGGAGCCGTGCGGCCCACGGCCCTGGCCCAGCAGGCCTGCGTGTCTCTGCTCCACAGACCGACCTCGCTTTTCCTTTTCTAAGAGTCCTCTAGAACCCTAAGGCTCGTGGAAATTTAAAATAATGAGAAAGCGGAGTTAAAGGTTGACAGCCAAGGCCATAGTGCCTGGGATCTTTGTGTACCAATTTTAGAGATTTTCAGGCATTCATGCAGAGAGCTGATATTAACATTTTTTTTGCTTGAGATTTTCGTTTTATTTATTCACTGTGATCCAGAACACCAGGAGCAAAGAAACCCGGCTTCGCACCCCTACCGGCAGCACGACCCTTTCCTGCTGCCACTACAAGCATGAGGCTACGTCTGAGCGGGTTTCTAGAAACTACAAATCCAGAGTCCATCTACCAGCCTACAGAGAATACAGCATCTCCCATAAAGTCACCAAGCGAAACAGGTTTCTGCTGTGCCGGAACACAGATTCTGGACGAGCATGGCGAGGTGGTAACGAGGGTAATGTCCCACCTGCAGTCTGTGTAGGTACTGGGCTTCCAGGCTCTGCCGCGGGGACAGCTGAGGACGCACACTGCTGGGGACAGCGGAGACCGTTTTCTGCTGCTGGGGACAGCGGAGACCACTGTCAGGAGAAACTTCCTCCTGAGGAGCAAGGGGGATGGAAACCTTTTCAATTCTCCATGTGGGAGAAAGTTTCAGTTCTGTGTTTAAGCACCTTGGCAAATGTCCAAGCGGAACTCCAACTCTGTAAGACTTAATACTTAAAGCTTTTTACATAACTAGAAGGCTGAGGGTTAATCTCTTGGCCAAAAAAGGTGTACATGTATCATCTGCAGTAAACGATGGCCTCGTCAGTGCCGCGGCAAAGGCGCTTGATATCACCAGGAGGCCATTACATTCTTGTGGCCATCAAATGCTGTAATATCCTTGATGCACTGAAAATAGGCTCAAAGTAAAATTTATTGGGTAAACAGCAGTATTTTTTGGTATTTTTAGCAAATAATCCACTTAAAATATTGAATAAAGTGGTATCAAAAGTAATGGTAAGAGTGCCTGAGTGGTTCAGTTAAGCATCAGATTCTTGGTTTCAGCTCAAGTCATGATCTCAGGGATCTGGAGTTCGAGCCCTGCATGGAGCTCTATGCTGACAGCATGAGGCTGTAGGTACTAGGCTTGGGATTCTCTCTCCCTCTCTCTCAGCCCCTCCCCTGCCCACACTCGCTCTCAAAATAAATAAATAAACTTAAAAAAAAAGTAATGGCCATAAGCTTCACATTTGTGTGAGCTTGTGTGTGTGTGTGCGCGCGCGTGCGTGTAGGGGGAGAGGAGTTCAAAGGACACTGTAAGAAGTCAATGCATATAAAATCTGCCATATGGACCAAACACAGCTGAGAGTATCGACCCCTCCTTAGGGCAGTAATCACCGGGGGCCAGCGGGGGACGGGTCTAGTCTGTCAGTGGCAGGTGGCAGCAATAAGGAAAAGTTTTAGGCTCTGAGACAGTTCAGAATGGCCTGTCTGCTTCAGGCCTGGAATCAAGCCTCTAAATGAAATGACACATCTCAGGACAAGGTGAGTCCCCGTGGCAAGGGCCCGAGGCACCCACCTGAGGGCAGCTGCCAGCAAGGTCCTGGAGCTGGGGCGCCGCTGGTGCCAAGTCCTGGTCTGCCTCTGGCCCTAGCTGCTCATACAGCAGCTGCACTTTGTTCAACTCGAGGATTCCTTTGGTTCTGGCCAGATTCTGAAGATGCTGTCTAAATGCCACAATTCCTGAAAGAAAGAACGAACAACGGCCAGTTTAAATACAATGCAAAGCCTTCTAGTGATCAGACATGTGACACCGTGGCCACAAACCCCCTCAGGTCCTGCCACAGAAGAGTTTTACGAGCCCCAGTCACCTTGGGTGAGGGAGGTATCCGACGCCCTGCGGCCCTCTCTGAAGCTCACTGGTGACCTGTTGTGAGCCTCTCGCTTCTGGGAGCTCAAAGCCTGCATGGCTGGGTTGGCAGGTCTCAGGCTGATGAAGGGAGAGGTCATGCGGGGGGACGGCTGATTGGCTAACATGATGTCCTTCAGGGAAGGGTTGTCTTCCAGAAAGTTCAGGTCCCTCTGAACAGACCCCATCTCATACTCAGAGTCCACACTGTCAAGGGATGGGTTGTCACTCATGGAGAAAATTTTCCCTTTAAGAGAAAAAACAACAACAAACCAAAAAGATGTATGGCCTGCAGCAAGCAGCGCCTTCTTTGAACATGGGATACAAAGTATAACTAGCTGGAGTCTGCACAGCTACAGCTTTCTTCATCTCCAATCTCCACACTCTTCCAGAAACTTCTTACATGTTAATTTAATCAGCTTCGAATTTGGTGGCATGAACACCCTAAAACTTGTGCCCGTGAGATCTCTGCCACCCCAAAGCCAGGGTCCTCGAGGGGCCACACCGCACTCACACGGGTCTCGGCAACTGCGGGCACCAGCTCGCACATACCACACTTCAAACTTCAGTGGCCGCTGAGCGGGCCTAGTCCTACAGCCTGCTGCGCGGGGTCCCCAAGTGAGTGAGGCGCAGGCAGCATCCTGAGCAGCGGGGTCGCTGCACTTTTCTGGAGACTGAAGCAGGGCTCAGGCTAGGAAGGCGCGCTGGTGCTTACTGTCCCCTACCTGAGCCAGGCACCACGACCAGCTGGTTGGTCACTTCTGACAGAGTGTGCCGTCTCTGCCCGCCGCGCGTGGACTGGAACGTGTCGAAGGCCTGGCTGGGGTCTTCCTCGGCCTCCCCCTCCGTCTCCAGCCCCTCATCGATGGATGTCTCCATCATGTTGCTGGGCAACGACTGGCACCCCTTCCTCACGAGGACGGGAGGAACAGGGTCCAGCAGGCAGCCGTTTACCTAAATGTCAGTGAGAGGAAACCATCAGTTGCTGCTCTGCTGAGACATCAAAAAACAACAACAGAAAACCCACAGAGGAAAAAATGTCAAGACTTGGGGCACTAGAAATTGAGTAAAATATTAAAAATGCACAGATCTGTTGCTCATGACAACACATACATGAGAAGCCAGGGCACGTCAGCTGCAGAGCTCAGAGACAGAAGCCCTTTATGGCCCGAACTGGCACTGCCTCCCAGGTTTCTGTTAGTCATCTGTATTACAATAAACAATTTTTTTAGTGGTTTCCAGATGAATAAGGGTATATTAGCTTGAGGCCTACCAGTTATTTTTTTTTTTAAATAAGGGAAACGATGAGGGGGAGGATGAGATAAAAAACAAAAAGCAAGAAACCTGCATGTCTCACTAAGAAAAAAGAGTAGTCCCTTCCATTCTTTTAATTGTCAACCACAAAACATTCTGGAAGGTTCTAGACATACTTTTATGTTCATAATTTAAGTACCTGCCCATTTGATTTAGTCTTTAATTGGTTCTCTGTGCCTGGGGAGTGGAAAAAAGAATTCTTTAAAGACAGACTGATATCACAAAAAGGATCGAGAAAAAAAAACCTGAAATGGCCACCAGCCAAAGTCTTCCCTTATAGAATAACAAATGAGTCAGAGCCCCGAAATTCCAGCAGAGGTTAATGAGCACCAGGGCAGCAAATGCACACAGCAGCTGGAGCTCCTACCCCACGGGGGTGAGCTTGGCCCGGCCCCCACGCCCACGAGGACTCGGCCCTCCTCGGCAGCCCAGCAAACCACCTCGCGGCAGGTGGAACCGGCAGACAGAGGGGACCGTGGCTGCCAGCTCTCGGGCGGTAAAAGCCCCAGTGAGGAGGCAATTATTTACTTCATTACCGTGACTATTCCCCCGTGGAAATCAATCCGTTTTCCCCTCTGAATAGCTGCTCAGGAGCAACCAGTTACAGGCCGCTGCGCTCTACGTGGTGCCTGCGCCTGGAACCCGCTGGGTAGAGCTATTGTTCTCTTTGGAAGGCCGAGAAGCTCATGTATGTGAGAGGTGACGTGGGACTCCCCATTGCCAGACACAGGGAAAACTTTCCTCTTATGGCAACCAATCTGAAGCCACTGCAAGGCCCTTTATTTGGAGAGGGAGACTCTGTGGGTGACTCAGATCTTTGTTTGCTTGGGGGAGGGGACAGTTATTCCATAAAAACTGCTCTGGGGCTGTAGCCGTTACTTGGACAAGGTGGCTAACGTGTGACAGGGTTTTAAAGTGACAAAAGGAAGAGTGGTAAATGCATTCTTCCTACGCTAAGACCAACCGTCCCCACAAGGCACCAGAAACAAAAAACTCTGACATCTGCCCAGTGACTCTTAAGCTCCCCTTGGCCCTTCCCTTGGTAAGTGTCCCCCCCCCCCTTTTTTTTTGACACACTCAGTAGTTTCCTTGTAGGAAAGAATGGCTCTTTGGGAATGTCTACCTCTAGGTTCCTTAACTATCTACGAATACAGTTTTCTAAGAATAGCCAAGGATGATTTAGAAATGAATAAAGCAATAAAGACTTAAGTAAATATCTAACTGAGCATCTTTATACTTCTATAAGCCTGTCAAAATTTTACCAGACATTTCTTGCAGTATAGCCTTGCAATCAGGTTGTCTTTTTCCTTAATAGAGAAAAGTCATCTTTTTTGGAGCACTCAAAAGGCCTTGCAGTTCACCTAAATTTATGTTCTTTTCTTAAACTGTCTGCTTATAAATTATCTCCTCACCTAGACTACAACAGGAATGAGGTCTTTCATTTAAAAACATTTGCTGAATTCAATTTCATCCTGGTCTGGATTTTTCAGATGCTGTTTGATGGTGCTCAATCAGAAAGCACTGCTGGGGAGGGGCCGGGGAGCACTCACACATAGTTCACAGGTGTGAACACCTTCAGCTCCTTCATTTCCTGAAATGGGTGATAACCACGCCACCCTTGCCTGCCAATTACCAGGGGTCTTGATACAACAAATTCAGCCCTAGGACTTTGTGAATGAAATGTTGGGGTGATCTACTTAGGTGACTTAAGCTATTAGAAGGTCTTTAGTCTAGGAAATAATCTAGGCTAACTATAAATTACAGGACTTCGAAACACATGGGTGAAATGGACATTTTCCAATACACTGTTTTTGTCTTTCCTTAAAGCTCAACTGATCACGTCTAGTAAGAGGCCTCATTGCAACAGGGAGTACGCACGTAGGAGTCAAACCCTCAGAAAGTCTACCATTAACTGGTAACACCCAAGTCCAGCATAAACACAAGATTCTAGCACAAATGACTGGTAGACTGTTATGTGCTGAATGGTTGTGTCTCAACTGCACCCACCCCCGCCAAATTCACATATGGGAGCCCTAACCCCCACTGTGGTGGTGGTATTTGCAGATGCAGCCTCTAGGGCAGTCATAAGGGTGGGGCCCTGACCTGGTGGCATTAGTGTCCTTACAAGAAAAGATGCCAGAAAGCTCCCACGTGCGAGCTCTTGCTTGCGCGCACACTCTCCCCACGTAAGCACAGAGGAAAAGCCAGGGAGGACAGAGAGAGAAGGTAGTTTTCTAGAAGAGACTGGAAATAAAATTGGTCAGAACCCTGGTCTTCAACTTCCAGCCTCCAGAGCTGTGAGAAAATACATTTCTGTTGTCTAAGCCCCCTGGCCTGTGGTATTTTGTTATGATGGCCTGAGCAGACTACGACAGGAGACCAGTCAGTGCACAGTATTGGCCAGGTGACTTGGAGCCTGTCCTATCTCACGCGCACCCTCAGTGCCTGGCCAGCTGGGCGCATACTGCGCAGCACAGGCTCAAACCTCAGCTCAGTCACTTACTGGCAGGTTGTTCAACTTCTGTAAAGCTCAGTTTCTCTCACATGTAAGATGGCTGCTTGGGGGGGGATGAACTAAAATATCATATCTATTATAGGATTTCCTGATCAAAAGAAAAAACTGTTTAACAGTAAAAATTTTTAAAAGCATCAGAACAGAACTTCACCATTTTCTTTTAAAATCTTATTTATCATCTTGAGACAAATTAAACAAATAACCAGGAAGAAAGAAGTGGATAACCCCAGTTCTAGCAATTTATCTTAAGGAAATAATTAGAAGTACAGTCAAAGATTTAGACACAAAGACACTCCCCTGAAGCACATTTGAGGTTGCAAAAGTAAGTACCTGATGTCCCAAAATAGAAGTTAAATAAGAGTATACCTAATCCAATATATTAGGCCACTGTTCTGTTTTCAGAGTGCATGATATGGGAAAAATGTTCATGATGTTATATTACCTAAAAACAAGATACAGAATCATATATAACAATACAATTTTGTTCTAACAAGTCTACCAAGACATCCTCCACTCACCCACCCACCCATCTATAATCCACGTTTAGAAAAGATGCCAGAATACGCCTATCTTTGCATAACAGGATTATGAATAATTTTTTTATCTCTCTCTGAATTTTCCATGTATGATTTTGACTGGTTTTATTTTTTCAATTATAAATCAATAGTTTAGGTTGAGAACTCAAAAGGTAATCGTCTCCCCTTTACAAAGCCTTAGAGGCATGTCCTTTTCAGACCTACACTCAGGTAAGAGTAAACAGACCTGGGACACTTGCATATTCCTCGCGTGGCCACTCAGCTAGGAAAGAGCCTGGGAAATCCTTTGTTGTAATCTCTACTACAATGTTAAAAGGGACTAAAACGTGTGTGTGTGTGTGTGTGTGTGTAAAACTCATTATTCCCACAGAGAAAGGAAATGAAAGCACTAACTCAGAGAGGCGTTTGCACTTCTGCGTTCACAGCAGCGTCATTCAGCAGCCAGGGTATGGAAACAGCATAAGTGTACATCAACAGATGAGTGAAGAAGTTGTCATATATACACACATAAGAATAATAATGCTAGAACATTATTCAGTCATGAAAAACCAAGGAGCTCCTACCATGTGCAACCACACGGATGGAGCCTGCAGGCATTACAGTAGGTGAAGTCAGACCAAGACAATACGAGATGATCTCACTCAGATGTGGAATTGAAAAACCAAAAAGCCAAAAGAACAAAACCAAACTCACAGAGACAGAGATAAGACCTGTGGTTCCCAGAGGGAGAGCAGGGAGGGGGGACGGTGTCTGGAGGAAGGGGGTCAAAAGGCACAAACTTGCAGCTGTAAGATAAGTAAGTACCAGAGGTGTGACGCACAGCGCGAGGACCACAGCCAACACCGCTGCAGGGTGGTCGGGCAGGTTTTAAGGGACTGAGGAAATCCCAAGAGTTCTCATGAAAAGGGTAATTTTTCTATTTTTTCTTTTCTTTCTGTGTGTCTGAATGAAAAGACGGAAGTCAGCTGACCCCACTGTGGTGATCATTTACCCACACATGTGTGTCCCGCCACCATGCTGTGCACCTTGAGCGTCCACAGCGATGCAGGTCTATTATTTCTCAATAAAACTGGAAAGAAACGGATTATCCTCAAAGAAACCCACAGAAGAGAAAGACTGACCTACAGGGTTTGTGCACCTGTCCCTCAATGACCTATGTGTCACCTGGGGCTCTCTGTTACTGCTCAGATTTGGGGGACGGTCTCAGAAAGGTGGTGGTTTTTGCAGGAGCCCCAAACCAATGTTTCAGTGCTGACTCCCGAAGGGACTTTCCTGACGGTTTTAGGACTTCTGGGACAAGGGGACAGGTGAAATCTCTGTGAGGGACGGGATCTGCCAGCAACTGGGAGTAGGAACGAATGGACAATACATGCATTTCTGAAGCATCTGTTAGAAGACAAAAAATGGGCGTCCCAGTAAATGAGTAGGAAGTAATAGGAACCACAACGGAGCCGTAGCTCTGACAGCTTTGTGTGTGTGCACTCACTGATGGGTCACCAAAAAAGAGGTCCTAGGGAGGGAACAGGGGACAAGCATTTTTGCTGACATAAACGAAACGGTCCACAGAGAAGACCAGGGGGTGTCTCTGGCCTGGCTAAGTGCCAGGGCAGCACTGCTCTTCCTACAAATGCAAATACACCATCTAGCTACTGTCTTTATCTTTCACAAAATCATTCATTTCCTGTCTGTTTCCTAGTTACGGGAACAATCACAAGCTTTAAAAATAGCTTGCCCTATATACTACAGCAGACAGTGCCCAATCTGTGTTTCAGGCCTGATGCCCTCACAGATAAGCTTTTAGCAGGCTGCTTTTTAATTTTTTCAAGGGAATTAGATCTTAAAAATAAATTACGTTGTCCCAACGTATGGCTAAATTTCTAGGTGAGGACATAGGAGCTGACGAAGTTACTGGACATCCTAGGCAACCACCGACAGAGGAAACATGCTGTCCGCAGGAAGTGGCCTCATCCTCAGAAACACCGACTCTAACTCCTCACGGTCAGCAGTGAACACCTGCTCGCACAGCCTCGCCTCCAGCTGCCTTGATTACGGTTTAGCTATACACATCACCTAACTTCTGAATCAGCTCTACCTCCAGAGACCTGGATTTCTGCAAGTGGCACTTACCCTCCCAAACACCGGGGCTCAAAATGCTGTTAGGAGTTTGGACTTCTTTTTTCTGGACCCTGAAACTCTATCAATTTTTGCTGCACAATCTCACTCATACCATCCCCTCTTCTGCAGTTTCTTGAGCACTAACAGTCCTGGCCCTCATCATCTCCCCGCTGGACACCTGCTCTAAGCTTCCACTGTCCCTGTCCCCATCCAATGCAGGCTAGATAGATACCTTCCAGGCTCATTTCTGAAGCACAGTATGGATTCAGCCTAGAGAAAAAGCCTACATTCTCGGGCTTGACACTCAAAGCTAAGTTATTGGTCTTTATTTCATACAGCTCCCCTTCATACGTGCTTTTCCTCAGAGACACACTGAGCTATTGGTCTTACATGGACCTAAGCTTTCCTGACATTTGCTTGCTCAGACTTTTCCCTCCACCAAGATGCCATCCAGCTCTATTCCATCCCACCCCTCAATTCCCTGCTCACAGTTAACCTAGACTGTCCTGGTCAAACCTGCTAAAAGCAACTCCCCTAACTTTTTCCCACTGCGCAGCACTTTGATTTAGATCTTGAAGGGAACGATTACGTTTTATTAATGTATTCAGCACCTGGTACCTTGTCTTTAGTTATGCATCAGGTTTCTTCTGCTAGACTATGAATGTGGAGGCATAATTCATGTCTGAGTTATCTTTTTATTACCTAAAGAGGCTAAAAAGATAGGGAACAAATAATAATTGAGTTTTTACAGTATGCATAGAATCTCACACACAGTATCTCAATTAATCCTCACAAGGATCTCATAAGGGTAAGGGTTCTCATTTTATGGAGAACAGAGGTTCAGAGATGTTAGTCACCCTGCCCAAGTTCACACAGCTGGGAAAGTACAGTCTATTTAAAACATACTCCAACATCTATGTTCTAAGATCTGCCCATTAATACGATCCTCTGGATATCACTTGATGCTCAGTATACAAAACACGTATTAGAAGTTAAATAAGGGGCATCTGGGTGGCTCAGTTGGTTAAGCGTCTGACTGTTGGTTTTGGCTCAGGGCATGATCTCATGGTTTGTGAGTTCGAGCCCCACATGGGGCTCTGCACTGACCGTGTGAAGCCTGCTTGGGATTCTCTCTCTCAGAATAAATAAACTTAAAAAAAAGTAAGCATCCGTCAAATGCAAGAAAGAAGCTGTCAACTTCTATATATTAAAAGCCAACTTCATGCAGCACATAAGGGATAAACTTACCTCATTTAAGCGTATTCAAACAGAACAAAAAAAATGTTGGACCAAAAAAGACGGCCCATTATTTTGCAGCTACAGCACATGCAGCAGAAAAGAGGTAATAATAACACAGACGAAGCTCAATGCAGCACATTAATTATATTTCTGTTTTCAGAATTACAATTTGTTAAAAAAAAAAAAAAATCCCACACCTATGAGGGATCTAGAAACCTAAAGAGGGAAGGGACTGCCTAAGGAAAGAGAAAGAAGGATTTGGAAAGTACATAGAAGGTCTGACAAGTTATGCAACAGCTATGAAAAGACAACAACGAGAGCCAAGTTCAGCCCAGATATTTTTCTCAGGTTTCTGCAAGAAATGACACTCCTGAGTGATTTGAGGAAATGACAAAGGTCACCAGAGCCCAAGTACAACACTTGGGGACCAAACTCAAGTCCCAGCCAAACTGCGAGCTCAGAGTCTTTCAAACACGTTCGTACCTTTGGTGTGTCGACACATTCTTCTTCCATGAACGCTGCCTCCGCCTGACAGCTGGACGCTGGGAAGGAAAAGGCCTCCATGTTGGATGCTGGTGGGAGGAGGGCAGAGCGCATCAGCCGCACGTTCGGTGAATGCACGGTCACCGGGAGCCCCACAGTTTGGGCCTGAAAATATGGCAAGAACAGTTTGGGAACATTAATACTCTCTCTACAAATACACAAAATTTTTGGAATAAGATACCTCTTCCTGGTACAATTAAAGAATAAGTAGCTGGAATCCCAGAAAAAATGTGAGGAGACCGGGACGTGGTACAGATCCTGATTTGCCGCAGTCTCAGGGATCAGTTATTCTATGCGTTCCATCCCCGTTCTTCAGAGAGGTGCCTGTCACACAGATGAAAGGAAGCTGGTCTCGGCACAGACCCTAAGAAGGCGTTGCTTCTTACTCAGCAAACTCATACGGTCTCCATCCTGAACACGTCACCACACACCAGTTACACAGAAGAGAGAAGCCTGTGTCCAGGGGCTCAAAACTGACCCAGGGGTAGGCACGCGTGCGCGCACACACACACACACGCACACACACATAGGTGGGGTGAGGTGGTTACCATTTCCTGACAAGGCTATGTGTACAGAGGAAGAAAAGGGAAGTGGCAGCTACTCAGAGGGGACAGGACTGTCCTCCTTCCAAGGAGGTGCGCAGCCTGAGCACAGGCTGCTGGCCCAGGGGAAGGAGAGGTGCTGCTTGCTGAGCAACTTATTTTCCTAAAGTCAACCTACTGTAGAAAGCTCTGGATGGTTTTAAGCCCATTTTCATGTCTCCTCTGTTAAGAACTCTATGTAAACAAGCATTACGAACTCTTATCCATCGTATAACAGAGGATCTTTTTTTTTTTATTTTAGAGAGAGAGATAATCTCAGGCAGTTTCCACACTCAGCATGGAGCCCGACACGGGGTTCTCTATCCCATGACCCCGAGCTGAAATCGAGTTGGACTCTGAACCGACTGAGCCACCCAGGCACCCCCAGAGAATCTTTCTTTATGACAATGGCACGGATTGATTTTAAAGATGAAACTACTGGATAATCCTACCCTGCCATCTCTTTAAAATTAGTGGAATAATTTATTTGATGCCTTTTGAATACAACAGACACTGCCAAACAGTTAAGGGAACACTCATCACCCGAGTGTCTAAAAGGCAGAGGAACGGCCTATTTTTTCTTTTACACACTTAAAGGGACTTAGGGTGGTGAGTTTTAAATTCAAGCAAATAAAAAGGAACAATATGGTATGATTTTAGCTTCTCTCCTCCAGAGGCCTGGATTTGATTCCTGGCTCCTTCACTCACTGTGTGAACATAATCAGGTTACCTAACCTCTCTGAATCCCATTTTCTTCACCTGCAGAAAAGGGCACAATCGCTAGTTCACAGTGACACCAGGACTGTAAGAGGTAACGTGTCCTTCGGTCCATAATGTCAGTTCTGCCTTTCTCCTTCCTTCCAAAGTTGTAAAAACAGTTATAAGAATTTAATATAGGAGTTGGCCTGCAAATAAATACCATTTTGTTCTCAGATATTATCTAATGGTTCTCTGTTAAAATTTTAGGTTGATGGTTTTTGATGATGGGGGATGCGTTAGAAATATACCTTATATTTGAATATACTTTGAACATATTTAGAATGTTTTATATTTGGTTCATTCCAACATTAACATCAGTAGATATGATAGCAATAGCTGGGGTGCCTGGGGGGCTCAGTCGGCTAGTCGTCCAACTTCAGCTCAGGTCACGATCTCACAGCTTGTGGGTTCGAGCCCCACGTCGGGCTCTGTGCTGACAGCTCAGAGACTGGAGCCTGCTTCGGATTCTGTGTCTCCCTCTCTCTCTCTGCCCCTCTCTCACTTGCACTTTGTCTCTCAAAAAAACAAACATCAAAAAAATAGCAATAGCAAAGCGTAGGTAAAAACAGGAAAACCCACCACATTGTATACCGTCCTGAGCATGATAACAAAAACAGCTTTTCTAATATCATCAGTCCTTGTGCTTATATCCTAGGCCACTTTTGAGGCTAAACAAATCTTTTTTTTCCTTTCAAACGTTAGTCGTTTTAATTTTTTTTCGGCCCTGTGTCACAATGTAAAATGTAAACTTTCTAATAAAGTAGATTTCATGCAGTCTTCTTACTCTTATCATCATTTTTTTTTTCCCCAACAAAGGATAAAGTTGAATTTTGATTCCTACTTCCCAAATGTATTAGGTTGCTCCTGGTGTATGAGAGTAGCCTAAGCTATCAGGGCAAAGCATTACTTAAAGACACTGCCGGAACTGAGGCACTAACACAGTAAGCAGGAAGCGTTGTTCCTTCTCAGTCACTACCTCCTAGGAGCTGTGACTTCTTAAATGGCAGGGTCATGCTGTGCCAGATCAAGCGTAACACATTCTCTTTGACAACTGTCATGTCTGACCTGGACTACAGCAACCTACAGTGGACGTGGTGTGGACAGAGGAATAACCCATTTCGGTGTGACAACCACTTCACAGGACACAGGATGGTAGGTTTTAGTGGTCTACTTTTTAGCATTTTTGAAATCATTGAAGGAATTAAAGAAATCTTTTTGGAACAAGGTAGAGGGTAAATATTCAAATGGTATGCTCGGCACTGTCATAAAGAAGATGTCATTATAATAAATAGATGGATGACTAATGTCCCAAGGAAGCAGACACTACCAGTTTCTTCAAGAGTGGCAACAGACAATGATCACGTCCAACTAACTGAAATGACTTTTTAGACTGTATGTGTTTATTGTCTTGAATCTCTTCTTCTGATTTTGTGCTTTTTTAGAATCGTTAAAATGAAAATGTTTCTCCTATGGGAAAATCTTTACTGCTCTAATAGGAATATGCCGGTTATAGACAAATTGTGTGCTCTGTCACACTTCTAAACCCCCAGCCCTCCCCCCGTCCCTGAATCCATATGTTACAGCCCTAACCCCCAACACAACTGCATTTGGACTGAGAGCCTTTTGGGGGGGTAAAGTTATATGAGGTCATAAGGGTGGGCTCTGAATCCGAAAGGACTCCTGTCCCTCTAAGATGAGGATGAGACACCAGGGATCTCTCTTTCTCTCTCTCTGCATATGCAGAACAAAAGCTGTGTGAGGAGGACACACTGAGAAAGCAGCAGAGAGTTCTCACCAGAAATCAGTCCGGATGGCTCCTTGACCTTGGACTTCCAGCCTCCAGACTAGGGCGAAAATAAATTTTTGCTATTTAAGCCCCTCAGCCTGTGGTCTTTGTTATGGTGGCCCTGGCCAACTAGAAGATGCTTTTTCTTACAGTTGTGGAGGGCAGCCTCTAACCAGTAATCAGTGTTTCTTTCTCATCTGCTCACAGTTGACAGAAACCTGGAGTGAAGGACTATTAGTTAGGATTCCTGAGAGAAAGGCATGACATACATGGTTTCTAAATCGGTGTCTGTATCTGGACTAACTGGACACTAACATTTCTTGCAGAGCATATGGCAGACAGAAGTACTCTGAATCATCCTAAGGTAGGAAGCTGGCTATTTTCTAATCACAATAATGGGTACTTTATCACTATACCATAAATTCTTTACATGAAGGGACTGTTTCCTGGCACAGAAGTACTCAATTTGTTGAACTGAGCTACAAGTAGATGTTAACTAATTGTATCTTTGTAGCAAACTTATATAGGAGGTACTGCTATTTCTGGTTTATACTTAAGGACCCTGGAGCTCAGAGATGCTGACTTGCTGAAGCCACTCCACTTGGTATGGAACCCAAGGTCTGTGACTCCATGGTTCATGCAATCTCTGCATGGGATCATGTTGCTTAATTTCTTATTGTTACACCAACTACAAGTGATTTGCCACTTCTTTATTTTTAAAAAAATTTTAATGTTTATTTAATTTTGAAGGGGGTTAAGGGGCAGAGAGAGAGAGGGAGATACAGAATCTGAAGCAGGCTCCAGGCTCTGAGCTTTCAGCACAGAGCCCGATGTGGGGCTCAAACCCATGAACTGTGAGATCATGACCTGAGCCAAAGTCGGCTGCTTAACCAACTGAGCCACCCAGGCGCTCCTCCGATCTGCCACTTCGTTAAAACAATAGTAGAACAAAGAATTAAAGGGAAAAGGCTCTACTAAAACATTGAGCCCAGGGAAATCTATTTTTTAACAAGTTCAAGAAACCACAAGAATGTGAAATCTCTCAGGGAAGAGAGCATCTTGTTCAGTTCCAGTGCCTGCTGCTCAGGGTCCAGAAGGCACTTGGGACAAGCCTATGACTGGACACTGAAGACTTCTACTTGAATTAGTTACATTTTTAAGTCTCAGTAAGTAGCTTTCTATGACAACTTGGGTCAACGCTTAAAACGAAAGTAACTCATGTGGTGTTTGGTAATAAAAAAATTATCAAACCCAAGAAGCTATGTTATAGATCTGAACTCTCAGCCAAGTCAAACGTAATTTCAGCTCTCCTAAGGAATCTGCTCCAAGCTTCGATAAGAAAGGCAATCATGTGCAGTGATGTGTATGTGCTCAGGGCCAATCATTTACATAACCCCATGCCTTGGTCTGTACGACGTGAGCAAGAACGAAGAGACCTGGGGCTTTCCTGCTTCCGGTCCTGCTGCCTGGCAGCACTTCCCAGGGGGGCGGGGGCACCACTGCACCCGTTACTCCCCCTGCGAAGTATTTTATCATTTTATCCCCCTCCTGTCTTGAAAGCAGTACCATTCAACTCTGAAACTTTGAAGGATATCAAGTGCTCCGAGAGAATCTGACCCAAATATTTGGAACTTAATCCATATGTTACATTAGTTATCAATATTCACGTTATTTTATATATTAAAGTATGTATAACAGTGTATACACCGTGTGCCTACTCAGCTCAAGAAGATCTTAATTTTGTTAGGTTTCCCCCCCACATGTTTGGTAGAAGCCAATATAAAACTGTATGAAATCTTCTAAGCTTTGTTACACTGCCAGACGAAGAATGTCTGCTCTTACTTGCCCTCTGAACAAAGCAGGCACTCACAGAAGCCCGTGGGAGCCCTAGTGGATGGTCTGAGTGAACCACTCCTCTCCTCAAACCCTATGTGGCTGATTTCCCAGCTCCCCTCAGCCCTTGGCCTCTCTCCTGGAATCCGGACCTCTTCCTCTCAAGCGACAGGGTCTGTGCCACCCCTTACTGCTCCAGCCTCGGGCTTGAGAATGGGATCATTTCCAAGTCATGGCTGTCCCTTCCCCACCAACAAGTATTACTTTATATAATAAACATTTACAGAACACGTTCTAAGTGCTGTACCACTATCAACTAACTTAAACATCAGAACATTCTATATTATCCCCATTTTATAGTTTGGGGAACTGAGGCACAGAAAGACCTTACGTAACTTTCTGAAGGTCAGGAAGCAGGAGGTGGCCTGGTCTGAGGTTTGCCCAGAGCACCTGCTCTCACCACCGTGTTTCGCTGTCTCTGCAAACCACTGCCGAGTACGTCCAGAGCCCCAACCAGCACGCTGTAGGCCAAGCCTGTGGTGTTTACTACTTGCCTCCTAAGTGCTCTCTCCAAAGTTCTTCCCTTCCTGGCCAATCTTTCTTTCCCGATGTCACCGACTAATTAGATCAAAGCCGGGATATGATTTTATCACTTTCCTGCTGAAGTCTCCCATCATTCCTTATAGTTTCCTGAATCGTAGGTAAACTCTTCACCTTGGCATTGGAAGCCCTTCACAGCGTGGCTACAACCTCTTCATCTCCCTGGTGGGCTTCAGTTCCGGGGTGCTATTGGGAGCCCACCCTGCCCTTGTGCACTTGAGTACTTGTGCTCGAGCTGCTTCTGAGGCCTCCACACCGGGCCTCCCACTACTGCCCCGCCCCCAGCCCCACATGCCTGAGGGTCCCACATCCGCAAGAGTGCCGTCTCTTCCACGCAGCCTTTCCATTCAGAAGTGTTGGCTCTCCCCTCTGTCCTCAGTTCTCTTGCGTTCATCTCTGTTTTGAATGATGGTTATTTATGATGCTGTCTTACTTTGCTTTAATGCTGTAAGGCCTGTGAGGCTATGCCTGGGTTTTGTACATCCTATCCCCTATTGTGCCTAATAACAGAATTTTGTACAGATTTTAATAAAAATCTGTTAAATGGAATCGAGTATACAGGCCAATTACATTAATTCTCACCAGAAGTCAATGATTAAAAAATGAGAAGTCTCTTAAAAAAAACTGTTTGAAATAAAATTAATCCTTAGAAACAGGAAGGTGCTAAAACATTTGAGAATCTAGTAAATGACAGGCAGAAACTTTACAGAAAAACAGGGCAGAGGATAAATCCCAACCCTTTGTTGTGCTACAAGATGAAAAATGTGTCAAACATGGGAACGGGCACCCGCAAGATGAGACCATTGGCTAATATGGTGTTACCTTGGCAACTGTTTGTTCGGCCACGGTGCTGGGCCGACGCTGGCGGGCATCGAGTCTCTGCTCCACGGGAAAGCTGCTCCTGTGTGATTTCAGACGCTCCACCAGCAAGTAATAGATGGCAGCAAAGTGGTTATAGCTCTTGTTCTGCAAAGACTGAAAGAGAAACCAAGTGCTGAAGTTAGAGAAGCATGAAAACCAATCTAACGATCTACATCTTTCTGAAAAAGGAGGGAAGAAGCCATGTGTTCTTAAACATCAAGTAATGAATAGAGTGTGTCTCAGAATAAAAGGTGTTCCAGAATTTAAAATGAGGGGCACCTGGGTGGCTCAGTTGGTTGGGTGTCCGACTGCAGCTCAGGTTATGAACTTTGGTCTGTGAGTTCGAGCTCCGTGTTGGGCTCTGTGCTGACAGCTTAGAGCCTGGAGCCTGCTTCAGATTCTGTGTCTCCCTCTCTCTCTGCCCCTCCCCTGCTCATGATCTCTCCCTCTCTCTCTCTCAAAAATAAAGACTAAAAAATCTTTTTAAATCAAAGAGAGTTTCAAGTTCTAGTATTGATTACATAAAGGGTGATACTTTTAAATGACTGGCGCTTTTACATAAACAGGCTCCATTTATTTTTCTGCATTCAGAAAAAAATACCACAGCTTTATCATGTAGGAGGTCTGCAATGGCGTCATACGGTCCCGTCTCCTAGTTGTAACTATGGTGTAAAGTCGGCTATAAACCTGAGCCCAGAGGCTCTAATTCCGTAACTTCAACACAAGTCCAAACTATTGCAAACTCTGAAGTGAATGATTAAAGTCTTTGGGGAAATTCCTTGTGATTATTTTGGGCTGGGAGAGTAACATTTGGATGGTAGATTGAGAGACACTGTGTCTCCGTTGTTAGGTAATTTTTTCCTCTTGTTTTTGCAGTCCCACCCTCTTGAAAACTTGAAAATAAAGTTGCTTCCCAATTTTTCACACCCCTCGGCAGCCAGCTTCCCCAAGACACTAACGGGATGGAGAAAGAACCGCTCCTCTGGCTTTTCACCCCACCGGACAGCTGGCACGGGCTCTGTGCAGGCCACCTCAGGGGCAGAGCACCCCTGACAAAAATCTCAGGCCTGCGGGACTGCACTCACAGCTGCCATTCGAGATCTACCTCGCGGACAAGAACACAAACACATCGCTGAGCACATGAAGAGCCAGGCGGGAAAGCCCGTCTGGCTTCACTTAATGGCAGCATGGTTTGGAGCACTTGACATTCACAAGAGGTATTTTGTGTTCTTTCTTGCTGTGCTTCCTCCACAAAAGCACTGTTTGTTTTTTTTACTGTCGTGCAGGTAATAAAAATGTGTTTCTCTATGGATCTGCTACCTGCTTAAGGGCAGAAATCAAAGCGATGAGGGACTTCCCAGGTTCATGACTCTCGGTTCTATGACCCAGAGAACCCTCAAATCTGGAATCCACCTGTTTCTGCCTCCTCAGTTTCTCCAGTTCACAACCTAAATCCTGCACCTGATGCCTACTCTTGTGGCCTCCTGGTCAGCCCTCAGCCTCGCTCCCTATCTGTATGCACTTTTATACTCCACATAGACTAGCTTATGACTTGGATAAAACTCCACTCTTCATCTTAGAAGAAATTTTCTACTTTGTATTTGTTAAGTTCCCATCTTTGTCTTTTCTCAAACTTATATAAACTACCTCTTGAATTTTCTGGCAGATGGGGCAAAGGGAGGAATTTATATATTAAATAAAAAAGCAAATATGAAATAGCCTGATTGTAATCCTCAGGGAAAGCTGGACATGCCTAGGTGAAGGGACTGGCATGCTGAAAGACCAGGATGGTGGGTGTGACCACAAACTCTCAAGTTATGAGCACAAAAGAATCCTAAAATATCTTCAGTCAGATCTCTCATCACTTTACCTCAATGGTTTTCTGCTGATCTATTCCAAGGCTGTGCATCAATCGCAGAACCTGTTCATTAAATTCCCCAATGGATGGCTCATTTTCTTGCCCTTGTGGATAGAGAACAGGTCTCTGTACAGGAACTTCTACAAGCATCCATTTATGCTCCTTGATTTGAGCTATGGTTAGCCGTTTGGACGGGTCTAGGACCAACATCCTTCGAATAAGGTGCTCACAATCTACAGAAAACACAATGTTACAAAAGTCACGTAAATCACCTTGCGTTTCAGAGTACTGGCTTGAGTCATGTGACTTTGTACAATGGCATTAATTTCTGTATCCTTCACAGTGCCCTCTGGAAAGCAGAAGGTCGAATGAATAAATGAATACATGAAAGTCAGTTGTATTGTCAGGTTCACGTGGTGAGTGCTGACACAAAAGTAACCATCATGTGAATGACTACGTAAGAAAAACCGGAGGGTGTAGGTCTGTCCAATTCTGTGCTAAATGAACCCTTCTAATGAATTTCTCAACTGAAAAGACCTAGACACAGACTTAGATTCTGCTGAAGACAAAAACAAGCCTTCTTCCTAGAATGAGCACACAAATGGATCCTGAGTCACTTCTGAGGCGGATACATTCAGGGTAAGTGAGTGAGGTGAGAGTTCTCTGGTGGACAGTTGATCTCCTTTCCCTGTCGGTGCAGCTGAGAGAAACGCACGTGAAGCATTATTTACTTGTAATTACATTTCAGAAACTGCACTGCTGTGACTTGGGCACGAGCTAATTCTCGGAGCTGTCACCATCCTCTCTACCATCCTGCGTCAGCTGGCCTTATACCCTTCTTCACTAGGCGCCAGACACCACGGAAGATGCTTTGCACAGATTAATTCAATTGATCTTCACAGCGCTCTTACGAGGAACCACTATTATTTCCATTTTAAAGACTGAGGAAGCACAGAGAAGTGACATCACTTGCCTTGATTAAAACCAGGCAGTCTATGCTTTTATGCACTAGAGCTTTGTTTCTACCATCCCTAGGAGTGACAGAGTCAGGGATGGTCACCCAAAGCTATGGAGTAGACAGAGCTGCGCCAACGGCCAAGTTGGCTGCACGAAACAAGCCAGTCCAAGACGGGAAGGGGTCATGGTGTCTCCTCTCAACTCGACAGCTTTGCCAGTTTTTACTTCAATTAAAAAACTCAATTTTGCAACTTTTCACAGCAAGATACAGGAAAATGCATTTCATACTCAGAGTGAAGTAGCTATGACTCTGTCTAAAAAGTGCTTCTCTGAGTCTAAAATAAACCTGGGACATTTATAGACCCAGAGCACATGTGGAGTCTTGCTGTTCTTAACCTTGGAAACTTTCCGTTTTCAGTGACAAGTAGGAAGGCTGGAGTGTCGCTCACCTACGGGGAGGGGGCTGCTGATTTCTATGGCTTCTGAAGTGACTCAGTCACTCTGTTTGGTACCAAACTCTTAGAACGAGAGAAGCCTTGCCCAGGCATTTCATTCGGAGCACAATTATAAGACAAATGGGTTTGTTACCTTCGGACATGAAATACGGAATCCGGAATCTTCCTTCTAAAACCCTCTGCCTCAAAATTGGAAGAGTAGGTCCATCAAAAGGCAGAGCTCCGCAGACAAGGACGTAAAGAACCACTCCCATACTCTAGGGAAGAAGACAGTGCAGTCACTTTTCCATGGAGAACTTGAAACGCTCTTTGTTTTCCTATACATCCCAGGGGCCCTTAAAATCATATGGGTTGAAAAACTCCCATTTGGATTTACTATTGTCTCAGAATTGGAAAAAAAAACCTAAAATTCGGACTACCGCAATAAAATATCCTATAATAAATACTCAAAGATCTGAATTTAACTCCTTTTGATTATCACTTAAATTTATTGCTGCTATTAAAGTAAGAACATCTGCCCCTAGAAATTCTTTCCTAGAATCTAATTCAAAATGCTCTAATTAGAGGCCAGTGGACAGGGAAAACATGAGTTATGGCCTATGTGTTAGGCACCAAGAGCTTCCACGATGGGCCAAAGCACCAACGGTCATCATACAGATGCACTGAACACAGCAAAGCAAACAAGTACCCAGATGTCCAGCTGCGGTCCTTCATACTGCTGCCCTTCAAAGACTTCAGGGGCCGCATAAGGAGGGCTGCCACACCATGTTGCCAGCAGTTCACCACTTTTAAAGAAATTTCCAAAACCGAAATCTATTGGAATGGAAATAAATGTTACTTTCATCTGTGTTCTCAAACTATACTGAGCTTCTTGTAACAAATTTTACACTATGCTGTATCAATGATAGCACTACTATTCGCTCTGTGAGGAACAGCATCGATCTGTCATGTGTCCAGAGCACAGTGACCAGCAAATATCAAGCATTCAATAAATATTTGCCGAATGAATGTATAAATGAATCAAGTTTTCTTCTCCAAGACAATGAGTGAGAGGCTGGAAAAAGACTTTAGGTCATGTATTTTTAAGGCTGAAAGAAAATCCATTGGTGTGGACAACCAACTTGAATTAGAAAATCTTAGAATCTCAATTACGCCATGAGTTAGAGCCCTTTATCTTCCTCTTCGTCTTTTTTTTTTTTTTTATTGTTAAAAAAAATTTTTTTTTTTTTATTAAGTTCTATGCTCAGCATGGGGCTTGAATTCATGACCCTGAGATCAAGAGTCACATGCTCTACTGACCAAGCCAGCCAGGTGCCTCATGAGCTCTTTATCTTTTATAGTCTTTAAGGAATGAAACAAATGGGTAAAACTTTAAGATGTCTACCTAAACCCAACCAAGTGGCTGGCTGCTCTTGCCGCCATTACCCAGGGTAGCAAGACTTATAACCTCTTAAGGCAACTGAGTACCGTGTTTCTGGGGTTACAGTTCTGTAAGAGTTGGCCCATACATTCTGATTGAGGCAGATATGTATCTGAATAGCTCATTACCACGTGATGCCTCTCTGGCCCAGCCAGCCACAGGCCACCTATCACTTCTTCACTTACTCATGGAAGGCAGTGGCATTATACCTCAAAACAGTGAATGCCTTCCCTTTATGACATTAGTCACATGGAATCTACATCTTTAATCTACAGCAGCCTCCCTGGAAACACTCAGATGCCTTTGATATGCAGGAAAAGGCAATTTTTCAGTGAGTTTTGGTTTAAATGCAAGCTTGTGCCCTTTGGCTAAGCCTTCACATAATCTCGTGTTCTTACTGCGGAAACAAATTCCTGTTATTTTACAAGTAAAAGGAATACTGTCTTACGTTGTATGAACCCTGCCTGGAGAACACTGCCTCAGTGACAGAAACTGGCTCTACTCCCAGCTGGTACATGGTGCTGCAGGGACAGGGAGCTCTAAATGGTGTCCCCAAGAGTACTGGACCAAATCTCCAATGTCAGACTCACTGGCTGTGTGACTCTGAATCAATCAATCTCTGTGAACCTCAGTTTCCCCATCTGTAAAGCTGAAATGATAAACATCTGTAGTTGGCAAATTTTTGTGAGGATTTGGTGAGTTAACATCAACTTACACTCTGTTCACACCTTGAGACTACAACACACGTGTATACTGTAGGCGAAGCGTTCTCTTAGCTCACTGACATGAAAACTGGTGGCAAGCGGTAGTGACAGTTAACAACAGTCACAATCCCCAACACCACAGCCTCACAGCAGAGCACAATCTCTCAAGTTAGAGAGAACGAGAGCAGACTTCCAGTTTTCCCGCTTTCCTAGCTTCAAGTCCCCTTGGTAGATGATTTAACTTCCCTGAACCTAAATTTATCTATAAATGTAATGATAATCTACCTACCCAGACAGGGTGCTGTGAGGATTAAATGAGATTAAACATGTAAAGTGCCTGGAGCATGGTAGGTATCAAATGTCAGCTCCCTTCTCCTTTCATGAAGCCATCGTTACCAACTACCGCCTTTCCGAAAGAAAGGTTCTGAGAAAATACACAGGAAGGGCAGAAAAGTGGAGAGGACCCCGAGGGCTCAGAAGACAAATGAGGGTGCACGCAGGGAAGAGCCTGAGGCACCGTGCAGACCTGGTGGAATCACACTGGCATCCCAGAGCATGAATGAGGCTGGGAGAACCGCTCCCTTCATAATGGGACCACAGGCCAGTCCTACACTCTGCCTTCCCGTAGGACCATCAGAGAGGCCTGACCCTCTCGATTCCACCTCTACGACTGACCTCTCATACCACAACATCACCCTTATGTCCTTACTGATGTATGTTTCTAATTTCCTAGAAAAACCATACTCGCAAACGAGTCAAGGACTAGACATTCCACTAACATTTAAAGAGGGAAATGTTAACTTCACACACATATTTTTTTTCTAAAAATTTTTTTTAATATTTTTATTTATTTCTAGGAGAGAGAGAGAGAGACAGCGTGAGCAGGGGAGGGTCAGAGAGAGAGGGAGACACAGACTCTGAAATAGGCTTCAGGCTCTGAGCTGGAAGTCAGCACAGAGCCCGACGCGGGGCTCGGACCCACGAACCGCGAGATCATGACCTAAGCGAAAGTCGGACGCTTAACCGACTAAGCCACCCAGGCGCCCCATTCACTCACATATTTAAAGACAAGAAGCTCGAGGACATGTGTTTGGAGATCCTGAAGTAGGTCCAATAACTGCTGTACTTTAAACAGTAATGAGAGGAGGAGTTTTAGGCTCATGTAAGTTGAGGATACTCTCTAAACATCAATGTCAAGTTTTAACACCTCGAAGAGCCATTATAGAACTTCAATCTGACCTTCCCTGGGCTCTGGTGGAATGCGTCCTCTCAAAGGAGTGACGGGGCCCAGCCGCCTACCTGCCAAGGCTCTCTCACTGGTACCCTTCATAGGCAAGGCCAGAGCAAGGGCTGGGAGAGCATCACTGTGCCTATGGGAGCCCAGTCTCGACCACAGCTTTACACATTCAAGACAAAGAAAGTGTCCCCTAACTTATATGGAGAGTGGCACTACGCAGATGTTCACTTCCATTTCCTGTGGGGAAATGAAGAAAACAGAACTTGAGCCTGGGGCATTGTTAAAAGAAACCCCAAAAGACAATCAGGTTCACTAAAGCTATTACGGTAGCATATGTGCAGATGTCTTCTATAACCCTGGCAAAGCACCAAAACATGGTTTCTGCAATCATCTGAGGTATGGGTTCAGAAAGACTTTGGAGTCAGGAAGATTCCAATCAAATCCACTTAGCTTGTGATCTAATTAATTAACCCAAGAGTCAGATGCTCAAGTGACTGAGCCACCCAGGTGCCCCAGAAGATGGCTTCTTAATAATCCAATGGGACATCCATATTGTAGGAAAAAATGAGGGTAGCAAGTCAGGCACTTCGCTAAAGGTTGAAGAATTAGAATAGAAACCAAGTCTGACTACAAAGCCCTCACTGTTAACCACCACCTTTATGTCCCTCCCTGGCACCATGATATGTAGCTATTTTTGAGCAAGTTAATAACTGTCAAGTTTAAGAAGGGGCAATGGAAAGACACTTAAAAATAAAAGCCTTTTTACTTCTTCACAGGAACTTGGCTAATTTGCTTCATTCACAGCCTGCAGCTTTCTGCCTAAAAGCATCTAAGTGCAACGAGGAGTGAACAAGAATGATGAAATACGAAAAAGGCATAGCTGGGCAGGATTTGCTTATCACCTTTTATTCAAATGGAATGGACCAGTGTTTCATCCCAGCAACCAAATTCATTCATTCATTCATTCATTCATTCATTAAACATATGAATTCATATTATGTGTCAAACACTGTGCTGACTGAAGAGTCTCCCAACAGCAGAGAATAATAAACGACCCCACATTATCATCGGACTTTTGGAAACCATTATGAAAACAGTAACGTGGGCCTTCTTCTCTTTATGCAGGCTCCAGACCCACGGTGGCCCTTGCTAGAATGGAAACACCTGTCTAGTTTCGTGTACACTCTACCTCTGATCTACAATGATGGCTTCTACGTCTCTCAGACATTTTGATTCCTGTTTCTCCACCAAAGTTCGTATACCATGGAATGCTGGATTCACACTGATATTATTTAACTTTCAACTCTAAAATAATTTTAGATTTTCAGAAAAGCTGCAACAATAAAGGAGAATTCCCTATGCCCTTCATCCAACCTCCCCTAATGCTAATGTTTTATATAATTGTATTAGTAAAATTATCAAAACTAAGAAAGTTTTGGCTCAGTACAATTGAGTCAGTGCTAATGGCTAAATCACAGACCTTATTTAAGACTGCATCTATTTTTTCTATTATTGTGCCCTTCCAGTTCAGGATTCCATGATGCATTTAGTGGCTGCGCCTTCCTAGGCTTCTCTAATTTTAACTATTCTTTAATCTTCCCTTACCAAGAATCGTACAAGTCACATATTTTGTAGACTGTCCCTCAGTCTGGTTTGCCTGGTGTTTTCTCATGACTGGGTTCAGATTATGGATTTGTGGGGAGAACATCAAGAGGTAGAGTGCTCTTCTCAGTGCATCGTATCAGGAGATGCATGGTAGCACATCTAATTAGCAGTGGGGTTATTAACCTTGATCTCTTAGGGTGCTTTCTGATGGGTTTCCCCATTACAAAGTTACTATTTTCCTTTTATAATTAATAAACTGAGCTTAACGGACTGATCCATGCAGGTGCCCTCACTGGTAGATCTTGACTGTAGCAATGACCACTGCAGTGTTCTAATGGTGAATTTTCATTTCCCTCATTCCCTCTATACTTAGTAATTACAATTCTTTAAGGAGGAGTTGTCCCTTCTTTTATTTATTCATCAAATTATTTATTCATGATTTCTAATATTATCATTGTATTTGTCATGAGCATTTATTTCTGTGTGTGTGTTATAATTAAATACTCTTGTTATTTTGATGCCAAATTCTTCACTTTGGCCATGAGAAGCTAATTCAGGTTGGCTTCTGTATCCTTTCAACACATCCCCATCTTTTTAAAATTTCATTTTATTTCAAATATTTCCTTATCTCTGGCACCAGAAGATGTTCCAGGCTTCTTTTGTATTTTCCCTGCCTCTACTCTGGAATCAACCATTTTTCCAAGTAGCTCTGGTTCCTTTTAGAGGAATGGTATCTAGAAACCAAGACCTGGGTACCTGGGTGGCTCAGTTGGTTGAACGTCTGACTCTTTATTTTGGCTCAGGTCATGATCTCATTGTTCGATTTGAGCCTTGCATCAGGCTCTGC